CGCCGCCCCTCTCTCCGCCGCGCGCGCAGCACAGCACACAGCCCCACGGCCAGCGCGACGCGGCACGCGCTAGTCTCCAGTGTCGCGGACCGCGATTGCCGAACCATCATCGGGGGTCTCGGGTGCGAATGCACGCCCGCTCGTTGTCGGGCGGGGCGGGCGGGCGGGGCGGGGCGGGGCGGGGCGGGGCGGGGCGGGGCGGGGCGGGGCGGGGCGGGGCGCGCGATAGCCAGCCAGCCAGGCCATTGGCATATGCTCCGCGGTGCTCCGCCGTTCGCGGCCCCCGCGCGAGCGCCTCGCCGGCCACTCCGTCAACGGCATTCGTGCAAAGGACTCGCGGACGGAAGAAAAGTCACGGCGTGGCCAATACAACAGTCTTGACAGTGTGGCGCACCGCACCCGACCGCGCCGCACCGTACTGGACCGTGCCGTCGCGGCCATGGGGCAGTGTAGTGAACCGCTCGCGCGTCATGCGCGCGGCCGGCGAGACACGGCGGCGCACGGCACGCTCTTGACATGAGGATGTTAGTCCTCCCGAGTGAGCAGCGCGCAGCAAAGCCTCGGGCGAAGCCTCCAACAAGGCGGCAGAGGGGGGAGCGGAGGGAGGGGTCTTTAGTTGCTCGTCCCGAAAGCAAATTCCCACGAAAACGTTTATTGGTGACGGCCTGACGGCCTGACTGAGCGAGCCCGGCCCAAAAGGCGCAGTCGTCGTGGCGGCGCGACAGGGGGCTTCCCACGGCACCTTGTCGCTACATTATTGCTGACGGACGGACGGACGGACGGACGGACAGAAAGGCAGACAGACAGACAGACAGACAGACAGACAGACAGACAGACAGACAGACAGACAGACAGACAGACAGGCAGACAGACAGACAGGCAGACAGACAGACAGACGCGGCGGCCATTCATGAAGGCGAGTTGTGTGCCCATGCGAGCCTAAACGGCACGGCACGTGTATTGCTGAGCACCTCACCTCCCGCAAGGGCAAGGCAGCCGTCTTGACGGAGGCACTCGGTGCTCAGTACTTAGTGTGTACACTACATTGTGGGCTAGTTGCAGGCGTTGTGGGCCCCCACGGCGGAGGGACGACTCCTGACGACCGCGTCGAGTCCGCGCCACGTACGTGACGAAAATGGACAAATCGGGGTGTACTTGCGGTGACCGCGCGGCGGCGCACAAACAACCATACTGCGAATGGCAATATAAAGACATGCCGGGCCGGCGCGCGGGCCTGATGGGCACGCAGACGCAGCGCAGGCAGGCAGAGACAGGCAGGAAGGCAGGTAGGCAGACAGACAGGCAGCCCCCCTGTGACGTCAAAACACACCGACACACACTGGGAGCACGCCAAGACACGGCGCTGCTCGAAATAATGCAAAGGTAAGCCTTTCCGAACGACGCGGACGCACGCGTGCATACACTCCACAACGCACGGGCAACGCGGCGATTTGCCTGGCGTGCACGTGTGGTGACTACGCCATGCCACGCACGTAAGTCTCCATACTTTTCCACTACAGTACTTAGGCGGACTTCCAAATTATTGCCCGAGTCTTCCGGCAGTACTTATGCCTCGGCTTGTGCTTCCGCGCCGCGCGGGGCGCCCCTCCCCGCCGCGGGCGCGGCGGCACACCAACAACAACACGATGGCCACGCGCCAAAGGGCGGCAGACCGAACCACACTGCCAAAAGTCAATCATGTCGACCATAAGTTTTACTTTGTTTTGTTTTTTTCACGCGGTTTTAAAAATACCGCGACCAGTTTCTCTCACTTGGCGTGTAGTACCGCGTGGCGGCGCCGCGCGAGAGAACACGACGACGAGGAATACCGGGAGCATCACTTTCTCCCGCGGATTTATCAAGTGGGGAGGGGACCGCGGCCTTGGCAGTGAGCGTGCCCGCCCCGCCCCGCACCGCCCCGCCATTCTCTTCCGCGCAAACGCCGCGCCACCTGCACAGCGGCACAGCGGCACGGCGGAGCGTTTCGCCGGATCGAGCTTTTGCGGAGGAAAGCGAGATGTCGTCGCGGAGTGTCCGCCGCGCGGCCATCATCCCCGGGCGGCCGAAACGACTGGCGGCGAGACGTCGGCACTTTCGGCGGCCATTTCCACGCGCGACAGGCAGCGTACGCACAGTCGGCCGGAAGACCGGTGGAGGCGGACGGGCAAAACTCTAGACGCGTTTCGAGCTCCAGAGTCGCCAAATGAGGCTCGAACCGAGCGTGTGACCCCACCAATGGATTCCTCGTTCGGAGAGCAATCCATTGGTGGGTTCACACGCTCGGTTCGAGTCCCACTTAGCGACGCTGGAGCTCAAAACGCGTCTAGAGTTTTGTCCGCCTCCACCGGCCTTCTGGCCCACACTGGTACGCCCCGCGCCGATATAGGCAGTCGAGTCGGGCGCACGACTGGCGAGGTTCGGAAGCAAAGGCAGCGACTTTCTTTTGGCGGGTCGGTTCTCATCGCGCGGCGCGGCCGCCGGCAGAAGAAAGACGGCCGAAAAAAGGGGGAACAGAACAAACAAAAGACGAGCGGCGCGGGGCAGTTGTTGTTCTTGCGGGAAGGTCGGGAGGCGGCGCGTCATCGGTTAGCACTTGATCGGCTCGGCCCGGCTCGGCCAGGCCCGGCCCGGATGTCCTTCATCCGGACCGCCACGCCGACCATGGCCCTTCCATCGCCACTGGCGAGTGCGAATGACGGGCAAACAGTGAGGAGTCGGATCGCGGCAGCGAGGAATCGACGCGGACCGAGACTCCACGCCGCGGGGACGGAACCCCCGGAGAGCAGGCCGTCGCGGCGCACGGCTGTGTCGCGGGTCTGCCTACCCGCCATTACCATTACCATTAAGGGCTAGACCACATATGATCGTAGCTCGACCAGGCTGACTCGCACTTGCGGGGCAAGCCGGCCCAGCCCGGCCGGCCAAGCGTGTTTCTGTTTCCCTGGGAGAGGGGCCGAGGGGGCAGAGACCGGCCGGCTCAAGTTCAAGGTCGAGCCCACGCAGCCCAAGCAGCCCAAGTCGCCGGGCCGGCGAAAACACTCGGCGTTTGACAACACGACTTTGCTCCCGGCGCGACGCAGTGCTCCGCAGCGACTTGGACTGACTGCCTTTGCGGTGGCGGAGCGCGGGGCGCGCCTTCACCAGGATATGTTTGCTCATCTCGAATCCTATTATCCTGAGGGTGGCAAAGAGAGAGAGAGGGGGGCGGGGCGATGATAGGTCCATGCATAAAACATGGCAGGCAGGTGCGACCTTTGGACCGGAGCAAGGCGAGGGTCCACGTCAACAACGCCCTGCGAGCCCAACAGCGCTGTCTCTCTCACACTGATGAAGCGTCCCATAGGGGTGCGAGAGAGACAGCGGCAAGGAAATGTTCGGCCAGAGCCACTGGAGCAGTGAGCAAGCAGCAACGCACAGGCCTGGCAGGCCCTGTCGAAGCGCGCCGCGGCATGGGCTGCCGTGTCTAGGTCTAGGGCCGCCAGGGCCGCCAGGACCGCCAGGACCGCCATGGACCTGCTGACACACATCCAGCGCGCTCGACTGCGGACTGCCAGGGACTGCCAGGGACTGCCAGGGACTGCCAGGGACTGCCAGGGACTGCCAGGGACTGCCAGGGACTGCCAGGGACTGCCAGGGACTGCCAGGGACTGCCAGGGACTGCGCTCCAACTGGCCACGCGCACCTTGTCCTGCACCGAAGCTGGCCGCAGCGCGGGCTCATTCCGAACAGAGATTGGTCGCAGTGCGAGAGAGACCAAAGCAGAGTGCGGAATGCGTCCGCCAGTTCCCCAGCGAAGTGCGTGCGGGACCGACAGCCAAACGCCAAGCAAGGCGCGCGGGACCGCGGGACCGCGGCGGCGAGGCTCCGCTCCGGCTCCACGGTTCAACGGTGTTCAAACGCCCGGCGTCCGGCCGTGTCGCTGTCGCGTTTCCGGACGCGGCGGGTCAGGCTGTCGGCCTGGTCGGCCTGGTCGGGCCGCAATGACGGAACCGACGCCGCCGCACCGCTGCAGCGATAGCCACGTCAAGGACGCCAGTGACATGCCCAGGCCCTGGTGCAGCAGGGAGGCGGTGGGCCCCGCCCCGCCCCGCCCCGCCCCGAGACCGGCTCACCTCGGCCGAATGGCAAGGGGTTCGAGAGGTGAGGTGGGGCGTACCGTGCCGGCGGCTGAGCCGCGGTGCGGCGCGGCGGACTCGGTCAGGTCGAATCCAGATCCTGGCCGATCCCTGCTGGACTGGATGACTGGATGACTGGGAATGCACGGCAAGCAAAGCACCCCGGCCAAGGAGGACAGGCCCGTCTTCCACGAGGAGGTCGCGGGGCCGCGCGGGGCGCAGGCGGGGCGCCGGCGGGGCCCAGGGCCCAGGCCCAGCCACGAGAGTAGATCGTGGACCTCGCGACGCTGCTTCGACTACCGTGCACAATTTCGAAGAAAGCGAACGAGTTTCCAAATCTTCAACAATGAGGAGCAGATAATTCCTCTGTAGGCCTGGCGGGCCGAAGCGCAAACGCACAATTTCATTATGCGAAGCATTAAAAAAAAAATAAAGAGGTTCGCACGGATAAACAATGATTATATCCCCCTCCTCCTTTCCCCCTGCGGGTCGCCCCGCTGACTTCCGATCCCCCCCGCATAAAAACAGCCAAGGATGCTCGGGTCGGCCTGCAGGCTGATTCCGAGAGTCGTTTTCGTCGATCTGTCTCTCTCGCACTCAAGGGACGTCCCCAGTAGGTGCGAGAGAGACAGAGCGACTCTCGGAATGAGCCTCCTGCCTGCCTGGCCTCCATCCCGCGCCGCGACGCCATGCCGCCACTGGTGACGCAAAACATCTCGGTCTCGCCGCGTCGCCTCGCCGGCAATTGGATGAAACGAAACGCTCACCGGAACTAGCGCCTACCTGCCGCAGTGCTGCGCTATTTCCCGTTCCGACCTTCAAAGCAGTGGCCGCGGGTTCGAGCCCCGGCGAGGGCAGTCTTTTCTGAAATTTGATTGCACTTACATCTTGGGGATCCTCAGACTGGTACAGGTAGCAGAAAAGCAAGTTTGGCTCCATGGGGTCCCTCATGAAGTAGAGGAAGGTGCAGTGGTTCCCAAATATATGCGAGTACTTCTTGACCTGGCTAAGTGAGTGCTTGAACAGAGGCTCACTGTTTGCGGTTGACAAGTGCATTGGGTCGCTCTCTCCGGCACTGTATCCTTTGATGAATCCGTCACAGATTGACAGCGACATCTGAAAGCAAATAAGATTTGTGTAAGTTTTCAGAAGCGCATTAGGCTTGGAAGCAAATTTCAAACACTTTGTATTTTTGTGATTATGGTCTTTGGTCGATCAATAGACTTGCTTTCCTACCTTTTCCTTCATGCCCCGCAGCCTGATTTCTGCAATAATCCAGGGCATCATTGGAGAGGAGAAACGTCGGTCCATGGCTGCAAAGCCAAGGTAATCCACAAGGATTCCCATTGGTGACGACATGATGGCTGAACTGTCACTCAATCACAAACGAAAATCTTCAGCCTATGAGGCACCACCAGCTATCTCATCACAGTTGCTGGTCCAATGTCCGGCATCTCAAATACATTTGCATTTGAACTGAAAGTTTCTTGCACCGATCAACGTTGGTGTTTCACAGCGCAGACACTTCGATCCAACGTTCAAACAAAACCATTGAAGCAGCGGCACCACTTGTCCCATACTCTTGTGCCACTTGGATGGGAAACGTCACTTAAACAGTAAGTTCAAACAGAGGTGCAGACCACTTTTAGTGTCTCGGGCCAGCTAACACAGCAGGGTGTGCAAGTGGGACTTGAATTTCTGACTGTCAGCCTGCAGCAGCCAGTCCATGACAACCGAGAGCACTGGGCGACGACCCGCAGCAACACGCACGAACGACGGGCCTCGCAAGGAACGCGGACGACGGACAAAGACAGCGCTTCGTCCAGGTGAAAAGACGCCAGCCGACTGGCGGGGCGCGGCGCGGACCGCGACCGCGGTGAGGGCGACCGCACGGCGAAGCCGAAGCCGCGAAGCCGCGACGCGAGTGTAGTTAGGCCCCTACCAGTGGCCACACCGCCAGTACCGGCTCGCCACTGGAGAGAGGTGGGAGAGAAAGAGAGACGGCTGGCGGCGGAGGAGGGGCAGGACCTGGGCACCTACCCAGCCGCGGCCGCGACAGGACCTAACCGAACCTAGGTCCAGCTCGCGAGGCGCGAGGCACAACAGCAACAGGCCGCAAATGTAAACAGAAACCCGTAAACAACGAGGCGATCAGCCGGTGGCACGGCCTTCCAGATCCACTGCCAACAGGTGTTCAAATTTTGGGGTTAGGAAACGCAGAGGGCCATTGAGAAGGCGAGCATCCAACCATGCAACCCAGTTTAGACGGACAGAGTTCTCATAGAAAATTATCAAAGTAGAATGCAGGAGGTGTGTGTAACATTTACGAAAAGAAACTGAGTTTCATTCAACGGACCAGTGACCAGTTCAGCGCTGGCGGTGCTAGTCTTTCCTTTCAGTACCCCACTGAATGATCCTTCTCCCTTCTCTCCCCTCACCCCCCCTCCTCCCCTATCCCTCCTGTTCAGTCGTTCAGCCCTGTTGTTTGGAAAAGTCGAGAATGGCTGCTATTGCAATGTCTAAGCGGAATCAGAGGGGTAAATGCCATTGAAACTTAAAAACCTTCAATTTCTTGTAAGCACCGTAAGTGAAACATCGTAGAGTAGAAAGTATTTTGACTTCCTCTAGTTTAGTTGTGCTGTTTGCTGTCTGGTTTTTCTGGGCAAAATGTTCGTCTTGAGGATCAAGAATAACTCTAGTTAACAATATATTTTCTCTTCCTATGGTATTTGTCAACGTTTCTTACTGCTATTGGTGTGTGCCGTTTTGAATGTCTTGGGTTTTCTGTCTCTTTAATTAACTCGAGTTAGCTCAGTCATAACATTCCTTTCGAAACTTAACCTCTTTGATTGTGTGTCACAACTTCTAAAATCCTAATGGGCCATAAACCTTTTTTTTATTTCAGACTGCAGGTATACGTTTTGAGGAGATCTAGTCAAAGCTTCTGTGTAAGATTCCCGTCCATTGCTATTTAGTATTAAACAAGAGGTGAACACCTTTCACCATGGCTTCATCAGAAGGAACTGAGGTAATTGTTATATTCTTGTGCACATCTTTATTTCAAAGAAAGTTAACTGATGAAAATTAGCTGTATGTCATAATACACTCCTGTTTTCCTTTGTTTGTAGTGTACACCTGCAGCTGCCTCATCGCCTCCGCCTGCCCCTCCGAAAATAAGGGATGACTGGTACCAAACTGAAACTCATGTATCTATCAACATTTTGGTGAAAAATTTGACGCAAGATGATGTTAACATAACCTATGGGCCTCAGATGGTAAGATAAGTGTCAGGCTTTTGTCACCTAGTCCGGTTTAAGTCTTTAATAATTTTAATTGAATCTTTCATTTTTCTCCTTTTCAGGTGACAGTTGACCTGAAGATTCCTGATAAAGTGACCTGTCTTCGATACAACTTGTCACATCCTATTGTTCCTGACCAATCCTCCCATAGAATTTTATCATCCAAAGTAAGTTTTAACATATTATTATCACTTGATAATAACTTGAGCTACAGTAACTGAAATCCTGTGTGTTTTGGTGAAATGTTTTAACCCTTACAATTTCATTTTGTTCAGATTGAAGTCAAATTGAAAAAAGCTGATGGAGTTAGATGGCAAAAGCTCGAATCTGAATTGGAACCCCATCCATCTGAAGGCAAGTTTCCTGAGGCACACATCAAAATTTCTGTTACCTACACTTACTTCTGTACATCTGTCTCACTTTCTCATTTCAATTTTAGATGCCAAACCTCAGAAGGAGAAGAACTGGGATAAAGTTGTTGTAGCCTTAAGTGAAACTGAAGAGGACAAGCCTCAAGGGGAAGCAGCTTTAAATGCACTGTTCCAACAAATTTATGGTCAAGGCTCTGATGATGTCCGTAGAGCAATGAATAAATCCTTCGTAAGTTAATTCTCTAGACCTTGATTAATGACACCGATAGTATTATTTTTTCTTTTCTTTCTAACAAAGATTGGCCTTTCTTTTTTGTGTTTTAGGTTGAATCAGGAGGCACTGTCTTGAGCACTGTTTGGAATGATGTCAAGAAGGCGACTGTGGAAGTTAAGCCTCCAGATGGTGTGGAATATCGCAAGTGGGATAGTTAAAATGGCTACCAGTGACACAAATACTAAAATTTTTATCAGTTCCCCTCCCTCTTCCCTGTGAATATTCATCAGTCTTGGATTCCCTCTGGATTGTGGTCTATCGGCTTTGGCATATTCAGGATGAGATAAACTATTTGTGTCAATGATGATCCTTGTTATGGATGAGAATCGGAAAGAAATTCTTTGTATTGTTCTTATTTCTTCAATTAAGTTTTAATGCTTCCAGTCTTAGTCTCTGTGTCTCTCACATGGTAGTTTTTTCAATTTGTGTTTTCCAATAACTTTTTTTCTTTTTTAAGTTTTTTAAAAATGTTCGTGTGTGATTAATCTTTGGTTTGTGATGATTGGAATGCTAGATTTTGAAGCTGTTATTCTATTTATGTGTCCAGAATTACCATAAGTGCATAATGGAGCAAACTTTCCTTGTAAAAGACCATTAAGCTAGTAACGTGCATGTAAATTTTACTTTTTATTTGCTCAAAACAACTAGAATGTTTACTGAATCCTAACATAACTCAGAACAGCTATTTGTATTCTCACTTACTGCTAAATAAACTGTTATCACTGTTCTTTTGTAATCAAGGTTGCTAGTTTCTTTACCTCAGAGTGACTTTTGTTCACACATACTTTCATGCAACATCTTTGTTGATATCCCAGAAAAAAAAAAAAGAACTTAAGCCATCATAAAGTTACACAACCTTTATTGACAAAAGCATAAATTATTCACATCCATCATCATGTTCAAACAGGCAAGTATATACTATCCACTTAAAACACTTCAAAAAATTTTAGGCAAGAGTATATTCAGTCTACAAAGTATAATGCATGGAAAAAGGGTCGTAAGATCTATCAATAGATTACATCACAAATATTTCAAAATAATCAAACTATTATCAGAATATCACTGGCAATTGAATCATAAGTAGATGCTACAACTAGCTCATTACTTTGGACAGAACAAAAACACATGCTATTGATGATAAACAGATGGCAGCCAAAATTCTACTTTCTTTACGGTGAGCTTCAAGAAGTTCATCAATGTTGAACACGGTTCCATCACTCAAAACATGAATTCTATTTTCAGAATACTTTTGAATTTTATTATATTCACTGTCCATCTTGTTACTATGAGCCTGAATCGCTGCCATAATATTAGTTTGTTCTTGCGCTAATCTTTGGGTAACATCCTTAACATCATTTGTGATAGTAAGCAAATCTTTTGGAAAATCGGCTTCCTGGCGTGAGGCTATAGTAGCTTGTGCAGATTCTTTAACAAGTTTCCTCAGTTCTCGCATTTTGAATTCATTGTTGATGGAACTCCCAGCAATGCCTATCATCGTACCCATAATAGAGCCAATAATGGACCAATATTTAGTCCGTTCAGCCTGAATTCTTTCCTTTTCGTGGCTTTCTTTCACAGCTGAAGATAGAAATGAGAAGTTTTCTCGTTCCTCTTGTTCGTAACAATTAAAGAGTTCAGCTAGCCTTCGTTCGTCCTTCAAAACTTTGTGTTCTTGTGTTATCAATGTAACATAACGGTCTTCCCCTCTAGATGTTTGATCCAATTCAGCATATATGTCTTTCAATTTATCTCTAACCACAGCCAATTCCTTACTAATGTTACGCCTAGCATCTTGAGAGGTGATGAAACGATTCTCCGCTTTCAGGACCTTATCTTGTGACACGCGCACTTCCTTCAGTCCTGTGACCTCTTCATACCAATCCATTAGTCTCCTGAACTTCTCGCCTAAAATTGCCGTCGGACTTGCTGATTTGGTCACCACCGGTGCGCTTGTTGAGCATGACAGTGCTCCCGTAGAGGTTACGTTGCCCTCGCTCGCCAATGATGCAAGCAGCTTCAATTTGCGCGACAGCGGCCGAGAGCCACGAAAATCCTTCATTTTACTTCTACTTCATCGAACGGCACCGGCACTAGCGCAATTTTCTAAAGATTGGTCTAGGTACTTCAGTCAGAAAGCGGCTGAACTGGGACTTCGGCCTCCACACACCTCTCAACCTCCACCCACAGTGCACTCTGAGCCACAGAGGAAGTGGGAGGGGCGAGTTGGCGAGTGGAGTATGGGTAGAGAAGGGGAAAGGGAGAGGAAGAGAAACAGGAGCAGAAATTTATGATAGAATTTATTGGTTCATCTTGATTAATAATAGTTGCAATACCTTGCTTTCAAGGTAAAAAAAGGAAGTTCTTGTACTTAAGACTAGATATATAAAAAGAAACTATATGATGATGATGAAAAGTTATAAAAATAAAAATAATGAGTATTTCACGCAAATGTCATTACGATGACTGTGAACTTATTACTGAAATAGAAGAGCTGCCTCCAAACCGGCTGTTGATCGGCTGATTGGTGGATTGAACATACACATTTTCGTTAATTCCTCTACCAAAATTACCAATTGCTTCCCTGGGTTGGTTTGACTCCCTTGGTACATTGAGGTTTTGAATTGCCTAATTATAAAAATAACAATTAGTTCTAGAGAAAACCGGAATAGTTTCAACACCTGCAACATCTTATGGATGCTCATGGAGGGCCACAAGATTAGATTGTAAGACTACAACTCACCTGCCGTCTTTGTTCTCCACTCAAGTTGACGGTCCTGGATAGGCCATTGCTGCCATGGACGCCAAAGTTCAAGCCATTACGATTCAAGCCATCATGATTTATGGCATTGTGATTCATGGCATTATGATTCATGGCATTATGATTCATGCCATTTTGATTAAAGGCATTTTGATTAAAAACATTTTGATTAAAGGCATTTGGATTCAAGTTAGAACCATTACTCATCGAACTGGCATAAGATTCAGGTTGCATGTTGTACGTATTGTCACTCATGACACTGCCATTGTCACTCATGACACTGCCATAACCATTCAAGCGGTTCATTGGATTAGTTGCGAAGAACGGCATTGCCGGCCTATTCCAAACCCGATTGGCAAAACTGTAATTTGAGTTCGCAACACTGCCATCATAATATGGGTTGATCATGGTCCTATCATTGAACGAGTTGTTCATAGTGTCATTGGCAGTGGGGACTTGACTTGTGATAGTCGTTACAACTATCCCAGCCTCCAGCTCCTCTCTTTCTACACGTGTTACCTGCCCCCCTATGGCTTCACTAAGCTTCTCAATTTTAACTTCGTCCAAAGTTGATTCATCTGCAAACAAAAACAGAGCAAAATTAGTGAAATGGAGACAGGGGGGATAAATTTTAAAAGCTGAACTTTAGGTGCTGAAAGAACTTACTACAATTATTAATCATGTCTCCTAACCCATCACCCATTTTTGAAGAGTAGCTGTGAAGAAATGTAAAGAATGGTCAATGAGGCATAACAGATAAAATGTGCAAGTAATCATATGAAGGCAAAGTCTTGTACTTACTACTGATAGGATTGGCTTAATTTTTTGGCCCTATTAGGGTCATGTCTATCATGTTTCAGGTTAAATCTCTGCAGAACAAGACCAATGTATCAGTAAATGACACTTAAGACCTACTCATATGACGAACAAACACAAATACAAATCAAATGCCAATATGAGCACAGCATACCTTTAGAAAAGAGAAATGAGGACGGATTGGTCTATAATAATTTCTTGCATTCCAGACTTTGGCCTTAGCACTCTCTAACAGAGGGTTCCGTCCCAAGCGTTGGAATACACTGTTCATCGGAGTGGTTTTCCACTTTCTCTCAAGAAAAGCACGAAGTCTACCCATACGCTGGTACCCAGACTGGTAGCGTCTGAATCTCTGCAACAGCAGAACATAAAAATAATACAATAAAGAGCCCTTAAAAATGTTTCAAACAACCGACCTATGGGTACTTACAGGAGTATTGGGCCCATTGCATCCCAATCGCCAGTTTTGAGAGCGGTATCTCGGTTTGAAATACGGACGAAACTTTCGGCCCTCTCCACGAAACTTTCGGCTCTCACCGCGAAACTTCCGGCCCCCTCCGAACTTAAACTGGAGATTATGGCTAACGCCAGCCTTCATTTTTTCATATTTTATGATATCATCTGGAACAGGAAATACAGAAACATCAATAACCAGTCGAGTCTCAAGAGTCAAGAATCGTAAAATTGAGAAACGAACATCAACCACACCACGAAGTAACAGGTGACTCTAACCTCTGCTGACCACTTATGATTGGAAGAGGCAGCAACTCTGATAAGATACGTAATGAGTACAGGGAAAGAAGTAAAACTTACCTAGTTTCATGTTGATTTTCACTTCTGGAGGCAAGGGAGGCATCTCTTCATCTACGTCCATTTTAACTCAAAATCACAACTCAGGCTCGGACGAAGTAAAATGGTACTTTCCGCGTCTCTAAGCGACTCGACTCGACTAACCAGCACAATGTAAAGCGGAGTCAACACAGGGATTGGATTAAAATGAATACAGGCAAAATTATAAGAGGTCAAGACACAAGTCTGGCAGTAAATGAGACTTCAAGACCGAGTCAACAGGGACTGCATCGATCACTACACTGGCACTGGCAGACAACAACAGAATAAAGAGGGGTGCAACGTGAGTCAAATGGATGCTTTCATGCATTTTTCAAAATTATTATGGCCACTCACTGGCTAATGTTGGGTAGCGAAAACATGAAGATCACTCTCAAAAGTGCTTTTTGTATTCATCAGTCACTTTTTTATTTGTTTATGAACAAGTGCATTGTATGGTGGTAATATTGATCACCAGCTTGACTCATTTTGTGTGAAGTCTATGTTTTGGTCATTCCCTCTGGCAATCATTTTGGGCCATTTGTTCATTTACTTGGGATTTTACCCGTTCAGCATCCTGGGCATTGAGTGGAAATTCGGGTCGAAATTCCGAAAATTCTATGTTGACTGGAACTTAAGAGTCCCAGATCCCCTAAATGAACGAACCCGCCTGGCCCGGCTCGGCCCCATCCCCAAGCCGCATAAACCTGGTGAAAAGTGAGAACCTGTTCACAAAATGGCTTGTTTCTGTTCTATTGCATTTCATATTCGTTGCATTCGTTTAATATAAGAAGCTGAATTTGAATAACAATATCATTTGTCTTGACGGCTGGAGGTGAAAGAGGGAAGGTCCTGCATGGCCGCCCACGGCCCGTACAGTGGCTGAAATACTCCCACGTGCAATATTGAATCATGTCGCGCCAATCATCAGCCATAACAGTGTAAACAGTCGACCCGGACAAAAGTCTCGTTTTTTTGCGACTGTTCCCTCCACAGGGCCGAAAGCGGGCGGACTTCCGAGGTACAGGCAGAGGGCTGTTAAAGTCGTTTTAATGGTCGCAAGAAACGCGAGGCGTAGTCCGCTGACTACAGGACGAAAACAGCGAGCTGTTATTTGGAGACCGGCCGAGCTATTCCGGAAACCGCTTTGTAACTCTGACTCTCTCCTACCCTCATGGAGCTCCAAATGAGTGCGACAGAGACCGAGCGACGAAATTAACGACTGCTGCAGAAAGCTTCCCCCTCTTCCCCGTCGTTGGCGACTGATTGCTGATCGAAGTCAAGTCAGCCACATTCGACGGGCAGGCAACCCATACTCCGGGGGCAGGCAGGCAGAGCCAAGGCAGAGCCGCCAGAGCATCGTGGACCACGGCGACGGCTGGACGCGGCCGGAGCGTGGTGGCATGGCGATGGCGAGGCCGTCCGGGCTTGAAATGTGATGACGTCTTGGCGTCCAGCAGGCTACTTGCCGATTCCGAATCGGAGCCTCTTCGCTCTGTCCATGAAGGCGTCCCCTGTGGGTGCGAGAGAGACAGAGCGACAACGTGCCGTTCCGGAATCGGCCGCTGCTGACGCACTTTATCTTGGGGGAGAGGAATCTGGTGAGCGTGCACGGACACCCGGCACGCCAGGCACGCGGCACGCCGGGCACGCCGGGCACGCCGACGTAGTCCGATCCTTTAGTGGTTCAGCTTCGAGTTGGCCGGGGGGGGGGGGGGGGAGGCCTCAATGTCTGAGTGCTAGCTGCACCCGTTTCCGTTTGAAAGGGTTTAATGGAGGTTCCAGGTTTTTGACGCTTCAGGACTGTTTGCCACTCTCATAGTGTCACGCAGAATGGGCCTAGGGTCGCCGGCCCACCAATTTTGTCTGAACCTACTTTACATACCGGAGAGCGGCGCCTATGTTTGACTCGGCGGTCGTGCGTAGGACTGTGTGCGTCACGAGCCGTCTCGGTTTTTGGTTTTAGGTAGTATTAAGTCGATTTTCCGGGTCGAGTGTGGTTATGACCGCTGTAGCTACCCCTCTCCTCCCCACCTGTCGCGCTATTCCGCCGCCCACACTTCTCGCTCTGTCTCTCTCGCACTCATGGAGTTTGCCGGGAGGGTGTGAGAGGGACAGAGCGAGGAGTGCGGGCGGCAGAATCGCTCGACTGTCACCTCGCTTCACCCACCGCGGGGCTCCGCGACAGCTAGCGACAGCGCACGGCCGCCCCCTCCACGACCACCGCGGCTCCCCTCTCCGCTCCGTCCCCGCCCCCTCCCCGCCCCTTCCCCGGGCACCGGGCCGGCGCCGCGGGCCGCGGCTCTTGGTCGCGATGCGCGGCGCCTTTGCGCCTCACTGTCACCCACACTGTGTTCCCGGCTGCCCCGTGACACTGACACTGGAGGGCGGTCGACGAGGCCGAGTCTGGACACGAGGCCGCGTACGCCGCGCACGGTGCAGGAGGACCAAGCAGCCAGGTCGCGGAGGCGAAGGTCGCAGTCAGGTCGCAGCCCTGCCCAGCCCTGGGCTCTGGTTCGACTCTGCAGACTCGCCGCGGTGGCCCCGCCCTACCGCGCCCCGCCGCGCCGCGTCTCGGATTCGCCGATAAGTCAAGTCAGTCAGTGATAAGTCGCGGTCGCGGATGCCCGTCGCTGCGCCCCTGCGCCCCGTCGTCCTCACGTGCTGTCCACGGTCGGGACTTGCCGGGACGCCGCCAGGACGCCGCGCTCTCCGATGCGCTTGCAGGCGCCCCAGGATTGAGTAGCAGTCACCCCCGAACGTGTCCCTCATGGTGAGTGAGCCCTACACGGCCGCATGCCGCATGGCTGACGTACGCTAGCGTGCGCTGTGCGCCCGAGGGCTGCGGTGGGATTGCTAGGATTGCCGGGACTGTGCGCAGTCGGGGAGAGAACGGAGGGCGGCCGCGCGAACGAGCGGCCAGCGAAGCAATTCAAACCAGCGGGCGTACAGTTCGTACCCTTCCCCGGATCGCAATCATCTGAGTGCGCCCCTGCGGCCCGGCCTGCCGGCCTGCCCCTCCCGAGGTCACGGCGTCACGGCCGCGCGTCTTCAGTGTGCTTCAGTGCTTCATTGCACCGGCGGACAGCGCGTCGCGGTCGCCGTGTCTCCGTCCGTCGGTTTCCTTCCAGGCGCGTCCGGGCGCGGCCCTGGAGTTTCGTGCGGTGTGCCGGAGGAAAATTGGAGTGTTCCCGATTAGTGGTGACTTGCCTCCCCTCGGCCTACACTGCATGGCCTCGTGCGTGGCGGTGCGTCGCACGTTGCTCCGCCACGCACCTCATCGACACCTGTTGGCGCCGTTGGCGGCGGCCACACGGTGCACGGGCCCGCACGAGCCCCTCAACGCCCTGCGCTCGGCGGACCTGGCGGACCGCGGCACCTCGGCGTCGGGGCCTCCAGGCGCACCGTGCGGCGGCGGGTACGGGGAACGGTACGGGGTAGCAGCCAGGGACGTCATCGCTATCGGATTCCAGTCGGGGGCTGACGGCAGGGCGGGCGTGAACCTGCAGCCCCGCGCCCCAAAGAGTGGCGGGGGCGGAGGGGGCGGGGGCTATATCAGCGGGATGACAGCAAATCGGTGAACAGCGGAAGGAGAAGAAAATGACTTGGGGCAGAGGGCAGGAACGATACGAGAGGACTCCGCTTTGGAGGGGGCCGCGGAGCCAGACGAGCCAAATTACAACATGTTGTTGTTATCCGCCGTGAAATACTGGGCCCGCCGCGCCACGCCCTGCAAACAATCCACTTTGGCGCCAAAATGTGTACAGCTCGTATCTCGGAGTGGTTCGTCTCGGTTGCGACGAGCGCTGCACGGCCGGCAGAAGCCTAAAACACACGCAGACACGTGGAGCAACTGTCTTGACGCTTTGTTTGTGCCTTTTTGTGCCCTGTTTGCCTTCGAATACCCGAAGGCTATGCCGGGCAGCTGGGCGGGTCGAGGGCCCTGGGGACCTCGATCGGGGCCGCAATCCACGGCCAAGGCCGACCAAGGCCGCAGAGGCCGCCGAGGCCCAAGGCGAAGGACGCCACCGATACGTAAACCGTAAACGCGACGCGCGGCGACCGCGGCGCGGCCCGGCACCGGCCAGCCAGAGTGGACCACAAACACTACGCGCCACGCGCCGCCTGTTTATCCGAGAGCTCCACGACTCCGCCGACCGTGCGTCCTGCGTCATAGTTCGGGCTGCGTGTGGCTGACTTCATGTGCTCCGAGAGCACCGCTTTGCTCACGGCCTGTGGCGGCGCTTGAAACGCCTGCGAGGTAGGCCACCGCTCGTCCCGCAACACACCGGCGTGGAGACGGTGGCCTACCTCGCCCCTGTGAGGACGACAGGGGTAACATAGGCCACCGTCTGCACACCGGTGTGTTGCGGGACGAGCGGTGGCCTACCTCGCAGGCGCTACAGGGTGCAAATCGACGCGGACCTCCGCGTTGTGAACTGTTCTGGACACACGCGGTGCACGGAGGCACGCGGCGTGCCACGGCCACACGGCCATGGCGCGCTCCTCTCCGTCGGCGCGCACGTGCCCGCCGCGGACAAGGACGCCGTTGTCTTGGCAGAGGGCCGGGCCTCGGGCCGGGCCTCGCCGTCGGCGGGTGTCGGATCGCCAGCAAAAACAGAGGCTTCGCTCTGCGCCGCTCCGTGCCGTCGTGCCCATTCGCGATCCGCGCGGCCAGCGTCAGCGTTTCGTCTTCGCTCGCCGGTACTAGGGCGAGAAGAAGCGAGGGCGGCGCGCGGCGCTTTCGACACCCACTCGGCGTGTTTACGCCGCGGTCGCGAGGGGCAGGGCAGGGCAGGGCAGCCCCCGGGCCGGCCTGCCTGCAGATATTGCACTGCTAATCTGACACAATGCGGGAACCACGCACGCCGCGCCGAGCGGAGACGAGCCGAGCCGCTTCCAACTCTTCCCCCGCTTCGGCGTTCGACTCGCTCGGCGGCCCGAGCCGCGAGCCCCGCCCCCGACAAAACAACGGCGGTAGGACGTGACCCGGCCGCCGGCCTCGCACTTCGGCACCGCGGGCCCAGAGTCCACCGCAGGACTCTACCCGGGCCAACGAGCCGCTGTAGTAGTCCAGGCCAGTGGCCACTGCATATGCATGCCCGGATTAGGTTGTCGAGGCGCCGTGGACAAACAAATGCAGCGAGAGTCCCGCAAACAGCGGAGCGGGGAACAGCGCCATCCACTTACGGCGCTCTGAATAAAGCGACGCGAGCCAAGTGGGCGCTGCCTGTGTTCCGGTGCACCGGCACGGCCCGAAGGGCAGCGTAGAAAACCGCCAAAAAATATGGCTTCCCTGGATTTGAACCTTGCACCTGTAGCATTGAAAACAGTAATCACGCGCCTAGCCCAAGAGGCCGAGCGCCGAGTAGGGTGAGTCGCCGTGAGTTGGTGCGTGACGTGTGCGTTGTGCCGGCCGTCGAGAGATCGCGTTACGTGGTGACGTGACGGCTGATAAGGGCCGTCGCGGCCCTGGCGGCCCTCGCCGTGCGGATTCAGGTTCAGGTTCAGGGCGACCCGCGGAGGCCGAGGAGGTGATGATGCATCAGGGACGGTGTCGCCCGCGTCGCCTTTGGACTGCGGCACCGCGGCGTGGACCCCCTAGATAGGGCGTCAAGTTGTGGGCTCTGCGACGCTGCGCGTGTCGAACCAACCGCGAGAGATACCGGTTATTCTGAGTACCGGGCCGCGCCGGCCCGCCGGGCTGAGTTCGGTCGGAGCGCTTACAAAGGCCTCGCCGCGCAGTCTAGCCCACGCTGTCAGCCCTCCGCCACCGTCTGTTGCACAGGTGGGCTTCGCAGGTTCGGCCCACTCACCCCTTGCCGGCCGCCTCAACAGGACCACGTCGTCGTCGTCCTCATCCTGGAGTGACGCTCATCGCTCCGCTGTTTGGTTGCAGAGCGCCATGGGGACCCTGGACGCGCTGGCGGCCTTCGTGCTGCTCATGGTGCTGTGCTCCACGTCGCGCGTCGTGCGGTACTACGCCAAGTGGACCGTGTTCGTCGTGTGGTCCACGCTGTCGGCCTGCCTGCCCATCCCGCTCATGCTGCTCAAGCCGCTGGACTGGAGGAACGCGCTGTGAGTATTCGGCCAGCCAAGGGCTTGGCAAGGCTTGGCCCCGGGCTCGGCCCCGGGCTAGGCCTCGGGCTTGGCCTCGGGCTGGGCCTCGGGCTTGGCCTCGGGCTGGGCCTCGGGCTTGGTCTCGGGCTAGGCCTCAGGCTTGGCCTCGGGCTTGGCCCCGGGCTAGGCCTCAGGCTTGGCCTCGGGCTGGGCCTCGGGCTGGGCCTCGGGCTTGGCCTCGGGCTGGGCCTCGGGCTTGGCCTCGGGCTGGGCCTCGGGCTTGGCCTCGGGCTGGGCCTCGGGCTTGGTCTCGGGCTAGGCCTCAGGCTTGGCCTCGGGCTTGGCCTCGGGCTTGGCCCCGGGCTTGGCCCCGGGCTAGGCCTCAGGCTTGGCCTCGGGCTGGGCCTCGGGCTGGGCCTCGGGCTTGGCCTCGAGCTTGGCCCCGGGCTGGGCCTCGGGCTTTGCCCCGGCACTGGTTGGGCCTTTGACACCCGGACGAAGGCCCGGACGAAGGCCCGGACGAAGGTTGTGGGAATGTCGCTGTCGGCCGGTAGAGTCGTCCTGGTGGCTGACCCCCGGCCGCCCTGACCCGCGCCCGGCTCGACTCGGAGTGCCGCGGAGTGCGCAGCCGATTCAATCCCGAAGAGCCGTTCCGTCGTGCCATCTCTGTCGCACTCGAGGGACGTCCCGCAGGAGTGCGAGAGAGACCACACGACTCTTCGGAAGCGCCCGGCAGGTTCGCCGCGGCCAGAGTGTCAAGAGTCCCGTGTGCTATCGCGAAGAGGCTATACAATGCGATTACCACGGCACGGGTGCAGAGTTGCAAGTACAAGGCCCTCTCATCGGGCGTCGTTAATGAGTCTGACAGTGTCTGTTGCCAAAACAAAGTGATTAAACGGCCACCTGGGACTCATGGCGTTCTAGGAGTTTCTAGCAATTTGGTTGCGCCTTGTGGCGCGGGCCTCTGCCTGGCGGGCGGCGAGCCTCGGCCAAGTGGGCTGGAGTGCTGGACTTGAGTGAGTGCTGGGTGGAGTGCTGGCTGAAGTGGCCCTCCTCTGCCGCAGCTTCCCCGCTCGCAGCCTGCGGGTCCTCTCGCGCGTCTTCGGGGTGCGCATGGAGGTATCCGGCATGGAGAACATCGTGCCCGACTCGGGCAGCGTGGTCCTCGTCAACCACCAGAGCCTGCTCGACCTGCACGGTGAGTTGCATTTTATTTACTCCTTCTCCTGGGCTCTGTAGTGCTTCGACTTTTGCGTTCAACTACGTACGTTCACAACTTAGCCACAAAAAAGGCCCCGACACGCACGCTCTCACTTCATGTTTTCGCTCGAAATTGTTCATAACTCACGCGCAAAAAAGTCCCCTAGGATTCAAGTGAGTCGAGCCTCCCGACAGGCGCGCGCTATCTATCAGTCTTCGCTTCTTTCGACCAGCGGTTGTTCTTGTCGCCGGAAGTGGGAGCCATCGGCAAGTCGGCAGGCGTCGGCAGGCGTCGGCAGGCGTCGGCAGGCGTCGGCAGCTGCTGATTGGCGAGGCACCTGCCGCCATCGTTCAGAGACAATGCCGGGTCCGAGTAGGGCCGAAGCAAAAACGTTCAATTTGGGGACGACTGTACTTTTCCGAACCGAGTTCGAGTTCCCAGGGGCGGGGCGAGGGGAGGGGAGGGGGGGGGGCGCTCTCATGCACAATGGGAAAAGTTAGATCGTGGGAGTCAGAATCCGATCGCGTTGCCAGCGACTTGCCGATGGACGATAAGGTGTGTTGTCACGATCGGCGGTCGGTTGTCACATCGTCACGTCGTCACGTCGTCACATCGTCACATCGTCACGTCGTCACATCGTCACGTCGTCACGTCGTCACGTCGTCGGTCTCGTCGGGTCGGACTGGATTGTCACTTTGTCACTCCCAACGGCCTGTTTTGCCATCCGCCGGCTGTGCGCGCCTATTTTTTCTGACTCTCCCATGTGCTGTGAACTACGTCGACGTGCAAACTGTAGTAAGAGGGAAAAGGGGGGGGCGTCGCGCCACAAAACCTTGCATTGTTGTGCAAATCCTCCAGCGTAGCACGCGAGTTTGTCGCCACTCCTGCAGACTTTGTTTCGACTTTCGACTCGATTCTCGTTCGATTATTCAAGGATCGATGTCGTCGGGGGCGTGCAGGGCCGCGCAGGGCCACGCAGGGCCACGCAGGGCCACGCAGGGCTGGCGCCATAGTTTTCCAAGAGGAGCGGCGCCAGGTCGCGAGGTGACGTCACTCTGATACCGCATACAACAGCATACCGCGGGAACAAAGCGACCCCGGCGGCAGACGTCTTCACTACTCCACTTTCCAATCCTGTTTTGCAAAACATAAACCGAAACCTGTGTCCGTCCTGGCGATTACCATCGTGTGTATACACTGCGAGGTCCCACGCTGGCCATTATTCGGCACTTCACGGAGAGGCCGCCGCTCGCTGCCGGTGCAGGATTTTCGGTTCGAGCGCGTCGTACGGTCGCATGTGACGTTCTGTTCTTCATGATGGGACCTGTTGTGCAATCGGGCGGCTGGGGGTTTTATGTGGGAGACGTTTCCCAGATTCGCATACCCCGATGCGAACATACTGCTTTTACTACTATGTTTCGAGCGGAAAACTTTCCGTGCCAACTGTAGCCGAATATCATTGGAGCGGCCGAGGTGCAATTCCCCGTCGCGGTCCAAAGTGCAGCGCTGGGGCCCGCGGCCCGCCGGTCGAGACTCGAGACCGGTCGAGACTCGAGACCGGTCGAGACGTCGAGACGGCGCCGCGTGGTGCGCTGCTCGGCTCGGTGCCCCCGAGATTAGCGTGGGGCGTGGCTGTGGCCATGCTGTGCCTCTGCTATTAGGGAGGACTCAACAATTAGCGAGTGGCCGGGCCCCGTCGGTGAATCACGACACGTTTGGAGGGCAAGCCGGCACCACTAAACAGCACGGAGGGTCGCAGTCTGCCTGCTCCTGTGCTCGCGGAGGGTCGTCCTGGCCGAAGGTTAAAGGTTGGACGTCTTGCGACCGTTGAAATTGAAACTACCCTCCAGAGGGTGGAGAGTGGAGGGGTAATCTCTACGGCGTCAAGCCACAAGAGGTCGAACCGTGCGCCGACCGGTAGCGTGCCGGCGGTTCGGTGCGTCCAGCGTTTGCATGCGCTTCCACCGGCTTGCCGATGGTTGGGTTGCCTGCCTCCGCGGCGCAGAGCGCGTAACCAGGCCTGGCGCCTGGCGCGAGCCGCGGCATCGTCCGGGTAGTCCGCCGCTGTCCCCTCGCGGCATGCATTTTTAACTGCAGCCGCCCCCTGGCCGGCCTGCGCCCCGCCCGCGGCCCCGCCCGCCCGGCACGTCGAGATGTGGATGAGCGCATAGGGCGGCCTATTCGTGTCCCCGGGCCTCAGGCTGGCCTCAGGCTAGCCTCACCGCGGCCGGTCGATGGATGCCAGTTCCATTTTGAATAAGGAGACAAGCCATATTGATTAGGCCGCCCCGGCAGGCCGGCGGCCCGGCAGCGGCCCGGCAGCCCAAGGCGAGATAAGAAAGAGTCGATGCTGATTAATTGTTCCGCCACTCCGGCTGGGCGCGGGGCCTGTCTGATTTGGGCTGACCTCGCCTCGCCCCCCCGCCCCGCCCCGCCTTGCCCGCAGAGGGCTTGCCGGCCCGCCCCGCGCGAATCTTGGCGCATCGCCGCCCCGCCGCCTTTCGCCCCGTTCGCCTCGACCGCGCCTTCCGCCGGGGCCTCCGCCTCCGCCGGCTCCGTGGCCACACGGCCGGGGAATATTTTGACGAATAGACATCGACCTGTTCGCGGTGACGGGGCACGACGTCATCGCCCGGCGACTCGGGACACTGCAAAGAAGGAGGAAGTCTGCGAGCCCCGCCCCCGCCCCGCCCCGCCCCTTGACTGACTTGCCCTTCGCCTCCTTGCAGTCCTGGCGGAGCTGTGGGTGCGCATGGACCGCTGCGCCGTCATCTCCAAGAGGGAGATCTTCTGGCTGTGGCCGTTCGGCCTGGCCGCCTGGCTGTGGGGCACCATCTTCATAGACCGCCTCAACCCGGAGAAGGCCCAGTCCACCGTCAACTCCACCGGCGAGAGGGTGCGGCGGCAGAAGGTGAGCTTACGCTCGGCTCAGCTAAGCGGCGCCGATCCGCTTTGAACCGCTTTCATCACGCGGTTTCTAGCGCGTGACGCAAGACGCGCCAATGTGGCGATGCGAACACAAAAGGTTGAGTGGTGTTTTTAGTTTTTCCTTTTTGGAGCTGTAAAAGTGTGACGTGTGTGTGTGCCCGCAGACAAGGCTGCTGCTGTTCCCTGAGGGCACGAGGAACGAAGGACCCGACCTGCTGCCCTTCAAGAAGGGCGCCTTCCACGTGGCCATCGCGTCCCAGACCAACATCCAGCCCGTGGTCGTGTCCCGGTACCACTTCCTGGACTACAAGCAGAGCAGATACGACTCAGGTAAGCGGCAGGCCTTGGCAGGCCGGCAGGCCCTAGCCAAGCGCGTTGCGATGGCAACGGCCCCCCACCTGCCCGACCAAGTCTAACACTCGTTCCCGCCGCAGGGACCGTGGTGATCAAGATCCTCCCGGCCATCTCCACGGAGGGCCTGAACAAGGACGACCTGGCCGAGCTGCTGGACCGCACCTACCGCATCATGCAGGAGGAGTACAAGCGCGTCAGCGAGGAGGCCGTCAAGCGGGACAACGTGAACCTGAAGGAGCGCGAGCTGGCCAGCAAGTGAGCCAGTCGGCCGCCGTCGGCGAGGGGCTGCTGTGCTGCACGACGGCCAGCACGACGGCCAGCACGCACGCGGCCTCCAGCGCCCGAAAGCAGGCCTGCGAACGTGCCTGCGAACTTGTGATACTGCCAAGCCTGGCCAAGCCTTGGCAGCTACGGACAGACTAACTGAAGGCAGGCGTTCTCGGCGTGGCATCGCCCGACGCCTCCCCATGTGATTTCTAGTTTGCCACTTCCCCTCATCGCGGTATCGCACTTGGACCGCAGTCGAGTGACTTTGCCCCGGTGCGCGAGGCCAGCGAGGCCCGCGAGGCCCGCGAGGGGGCGTGGCGCGGCGGGAGTTCCATTTCACGGTCCGCGAGTTTCGGCCGCCATGCCGGACTGCCGGACTACCGGACGTTGACGTTATGGGCTACACTTTTCGGATGGCCCTGGCCACCGAGTCCCGGCCTGTCCCGGGGCGTTCTTGTCATTAGCTTGTATTTATTTTTCTTATTGTGTCTAGTTTTAGTGTCAATAACATTACGGAAAGGACTTGCTGTGATTTGTACTGACGTTTTATTTTATTCCTGCCTGTGCCGATCTTAAGAAACAGTTTGACATGAGGACAACGCCATCCTCGCCTTGTTTTTGTCTTCCTTCCTTTAGTTACTCTAGAGAGGGCGTCGCGCGCCGTCTCGAAGTACCACTACACTGATTTACGCCCTGCCGTCCAACCTTAAACCTTAAACCGTGTTCACCGTTCAGGCTTCAGGCGGCCTGACCCGTGCCGCCCGTGCTGTACACTGTGCAGTGTACGTCACCAAGAGGCGGTTGGTTTTTCTTCGATAAACAGCGGCCGGGCTGTGATGCTGCGATAGTGATAGCACCACCGCACCCACCGTGTCCCCGCGGACGCGACGCGGCACGGACGCGCGCCGCCTCGTTCCCACGATGCACACTCGCACAAATTGGATCATGACTGACTAGCAAGTTGTCTTTTCTTGGTCCGCGCACAACAAACATCAAAATAAGTTCCAGTGGCGGCGGACGGCTTCCCGCGGCGGGCCGTGGGGCCTTGGGCATTGGGCCTTGGGGCCGCCGAGCTGTAGTCGACGACTGTTGTTCCCGGCAAGGACTGGCCGACTGGTCCACTGGTCGGTCGTCCCGCGCGGAGCCCTGCCGCACTCCAGTCGTGGCCGTTGGTGCCGAGGAAGCGCCCTCAGAACGGACTCGGCTGGGCCAGGGGGACCACCACCGGGTCGGGGGCGTCCCGAGGGACCAGGGGGTCCAGCTCCTTGGAGTCCGGCGCGGTGGGGGTCTTGGGGCTCCTGGGGCCCTTGAGCGAGTCCTCGCCGCCCTCGTGGCGGTCCAGCAGGATGGCGACCTCGGCGGCGAGCGGGCGGTACACGGCGCGGGGCATGTTCTTGGCCAGCAGCAGGAGGAACAGCCAGTCGCCCGCGTCGAAGTGGCGCGCCAGGGACGCGGACACTTCCGCCGGAACCAGGGGCAGTCCCAGCAACCGGAGCAGCAGCCACAGCGTCAGCCTGGAACGGGACGCCCGGGACGGGACGAGTTGACATGGCCTGACATGACGCATGTCATGGCAGATGCAGGCCAGGGCCCTGCGGGCGCGAGCACGCGCACAGGCTAGGCAACCCATCGGGCTGCACTGCTTGCCGCCGGACGTCGCGGCCCGGCCGAGTTCGGGCCGCACCGCGCATCCGCGCATTGGCGCGTCTGGCCAGGTCTGGCGACCATATGGTGCCAAGGCCTCGCCTCGCCGCGCCTCGCGGGCCGCGGGCCGCCATACGCACCTGTTCCGGCTGGCGCTCCTCTTGGCGCAGATGTAGGCGACCAGGGCCAGGCAGGACCGCAGCACGATGAGGACGGACGCGACGACCAGCATCGCGAACCAGACCCACAGCAGCACGAACACCTGCACCGGGAGTCAGTCAGGATGACGCTGACGGCCGAGACCAGCGTCGGCACAACTACAGAGATAGATACTGCACGCACCTTCTCGTTGACCACGTTGAGCGCCATGACGCAGAGCGCGTCGTGCCGTTGGATGGAGCCGGACGGGCCGTACTTGAAGAAGGTGCACTTTGTGAGCTTGGGGAAGACGGCCTCCATGGGGTCCGCGGGGTCCTCCGGGTGGTCGGCGGGGTCCGCCGGCCCCAGTCGCGATAGCTGCGGCTCCGCGAAGTCCGGGTACGGGTCGAGCCTCTGCAGCCGCTGCAGCAGCTGCGGGTGGGCGGGGGTCTCGGGGACGCCGCCAGAGCCACCCAGCACGAGCGCGCCGTAGCTGAAGAAGCGGCCGCCAAGCAGGCCGTCCAGCATCAGCGCGTTGGCCACCACGTTCACCAGGTTGAGCAGCTCCGCGAACCAGTAGCCCGACGCCCACAGCAGGTGGCTGTTGAGCGTGCCGTGCATGTACCTGCGCGGGGTTCCAGAATCAGCTCAAAGCCGAAGGCGCGCGGCCTCGCGGAACGGGAAATGTGGCTTACTTGGCGAGCAGCTTGACCTGCTTGAGGCGCTGGTCCGAGGCCACCACTTCCTGCAGGCGGAGTCCTTGCAGCGACCCGGACACCAGGCCGCCCTCCCACATGGTCCAGGCGGCGTAGGGCGCGAAGAACATGACGGCCTGCATGCCCAGCACCAGCGGCACCTGCGGGCCGCGGCGGGGCGTCCCGCGGATCAACGTGCTGGCTGGCCCCTGGTCCGTGACCATCACCATCACCATCACCATCACCATGCTTACCCACTGGTAGTAGGCGTGGCGCCGCACGGACGCGCCGTGCTCGTCGGCCACGTCGGCCACGTGCTCGTCCAGGGCGGGGTCCACGCCGAGGTTCTGCATCAGTCCCTGCAGTCCGGGGTGCATGGCCGCGGCGGTCGCGTCGCTCGGCTGTCCCCAGCGACGGCGAGGATCTGCAATCGCAGCAATAGCAATGCAGCAGCAGTAGCAATAGCTGTAGGAATAGCAATAGCAGCACCAGTAGGAAGAGCTAAAGTGAGCGCCTGGAGGCAGACAAACTCCTGCCACGGTTGTGTAACGGGACTGCCTACCTTCAGGCGCTCCCCAAAAGAGGAAAAGGGTCCACGCTGGATTGAAATTGGTTCCTTGATTTCCCCTTCAAAATTTTCATTTGGCTTTGCCTTGACCTTGCGATACACTCCCACAATTTACTGTCTAAATGCCCGCCACAGCGCAGCGAGGCAGCGAGGCGTACCGGAGGGTCCGAGATGGAGCTGGCGGCGCGGCCGCACCACGGTGTAGGTGGTGGCGATGAAGCAGTACGTGTTCATGACGCGCTCGGGCACGCCGGGGTCGTCCTTCTGCTGGATGCACTGCACGGGCTCGCCCAGGTACTGGCGCGCCGACACGAGCAGCATGAGGAAGAGCAGCAGCACGGCGGTGACGCGGTGGTGCAGGGCGGACCAGAGCGACGACAAGTGCACCTCTCCGGGCGCGTTGGTGCGCACCACGCTCCGCAGCGCGCCGAAGACCGTGAGCATCGTCATGCTGGAGCAGTCCGGGCCGCGGCACCGGGGCAGCGGCTAGGGAAGTTCCAGGGCGTGCGAGACGCCGACAGCACGCCGTCAGCACGCCGTCAGCACGCCGTCGTACCGGCCGCCACCGAGCGCACCACCCGCGTCGCAGGGTACTCGCGGGCCATGGTTGTCGCACTGCTGCACTGCACTTGCACTAGGTAGTCGCACCAGGTAACGTTGTCGGCGGCGTTGACACGCGTCGCGGCACTGTGACGCACTGCATATCCTCGCCACCGAAGCTCGGCGGCCCCGGCGCGGCGAGTGTGACTGTGTGACTCCGTGGCGCCCCCGTCCCGACGTTTGGCGCGCGCGACGCGTCCGCAACGTCCGCAACCCGGCGCGGCCCCCAGCGAGCACTCGACTCTACGCCACGCCGCGACGCAGGCAACACTCAGGCAGGCAACAGTCAACGAAGCGGCAGACTGGCGCGGTGCAGCGGGGCGGGGCGCGGCGGGGTGGGGCGGGGCGGGGCGGGGCGCTTCGGTCGCCCATTGTGTTGTGGGCGATCAGTTCCCAGGCAGGGAAGGACATGGCGGGCGGGGCGGCCAGGGCATGCCCTACTGACTGATTCCGAGAGCCGTTTTCGTCGTTCTTTCTCCCTCGCTCTCGCGGGGCGTGCCTTCCGGGTGCGAGACGGACAGAGCGACGAAAGCGACTCTCGGAATCAGTCTGCAGTAGGCGCTAAACCGTGTAATCGAAAGGGACCCACATTGCCCCCTCCTCCAATTACAGGACGCACACGAGGGCCGTGGGCTGCTCTGGGCTGCTCTGGGCTGCTGGGGTTGGGTGGGCGTCAACTCCATGATCCCGAAGGAGACGTGTCTTGCCTGTACACAGACTCGACTGAGCCGCTTGACGTTCAACCTTAAAGTCGCCCCCTTTAAACGTGCTGCCAAAACTGGAAGGGGCACGGCGTCGCGAGCTTGTCCGGGTCAGTGTCACACTGCGGCTGCATCCACGTGGGCGCTCGCGGCGCACGGCGACGCGGCGACACGGTGGGGAGGGGCGCGGCCTCCCAGGTGGAAGCTGGAAGTGGCTGGAAGGCCAGGCGGGCCTCTGGAGTCTGGAAGGGGCTCCGCGTGCTGCGCGTCGCCCACGCCGCGCCCCGCCGCCAAAGGCAGGCGTGAAGCACGTAAAGCCTCGCGGCTCGCGGCTTGCGTCGCGGCGGCGTCGTGGCCGTCACATTAGGACTGTCGATGAAGTGCGGTGACCTCGAGACTCGAGACCAGCCAGGCCAGCCAGCAGACTGACTCCGAGAGTCGTTTTCGCCGCTCCGTTTCTCTCGCACTCATGGGGCGTCCCCTGTAGGTGCGAGAGAGACATCAGTCTGCTGGCACCTCGTTAACAGGCAGAAAGAATTTCCTCTTTCGGACGGGCCAGGGCGGCCAGGGCACGCCCGTGCACGGCAGAGCCGGGCCGCCGCGCCAGCCGGACGCATAAAGGGACTGTTTGTAAGCTTTCGAACAGCCGCCCCGCGCCCCCCTGCCCCCTTCCCGACACTACGCGCATGCGACCGCCGCGTCTGCGTCTTCCGAGACTCACACAAACAGAGTCACAGTCGTGGCCCCACGAAGAAGGGGAACACGGCTTGGAGAGGATGACGTCAGCGGAGAGCCGTGAGTCTGTGGCAGCCGAGTTTTTGACAGCACGCGTGAGGATTACGCGCATGCGTGTCTTTTTCGTCGCTCTCTCTATCGCACTCATAGGGCGTTCCGTTTGGGTGCGAGGGAGGAAACCCTATGAGTGTGAAAGAGGTAGCGACGATAACAACCCTCGAAATCAGTCCGTCGGCCGACAAAACAGCGTCAATGGTGCGCCGCTCGCTATAGTGAAAGGACAGGGAAGGAATGGGGAAGAGAGAAACTCGATCGACGCTTCGGACGCTTGCCGTTCTACCGTCCACGCATGGTATCTAGACTGCCGGAGAGTGAGCGGAGTCGTCAGCGCGAGCGGGGCAGCGAGCGAGCGCTCCCGGCGAGGTCCTGCCGGTCCTGCCTCCGCGAAGCCGCGGCACGCACACACGGCACGCGCCTCGACCGTCTTTTCAATCTTTTCGCCGTTACACACCAAATGGGGAGGTGCGGTGAAATTCCGCCCCACATCACCCATTTCGTCAAGTTTTCCCTCCCTTCACGTGTAGCCAGGTCTAGAAACGGAGAAGAAAAATAACACACGGATTCAGTTTTCGAGACATCTTGAAGTAGCTTATGACATCAATCATATTTAAAGCTAAACCTTCAGTGAAATATTCGAACTATTGTTGAGAGATTGTATTGATGATGGTTTTATTGGGATGATTCAAACTACAGATAAGTAGCGTCTGTGTAGTGGCAGAACTGTGACCGACCCCCACCAGCCACCGTCGTTTGTTTGTTTACATCTAGTAACCAAGGCAGCTTTGTGCCTTCTGCTAATTCTTCCCTTCAGTAATCTATCTCTGTTTTTCAACCTTTTTCTACTTTTCTGGATTAAATATTGGTTCACTTTATAATGGTGAACTGCTCTATCGAGGGTTGCAAGTCCAAAGTCGGCCGTGAGAAACTAAGTTTTTACACAATTCCTGCTGTAATTACCAGACAGTGTGATTTGACATTGGAGCTGTCAGAACGTCGAAGAAAAGTCTGGTTTGAGTGTATTTACCGTCCGGGCTTTGATGAGGCGGATGCCCCTCGCTACGTGCGAGTCTGCTCCAAACACTTCGTCAATGGTTTGTATATTTTGACCCGTGCATTTTCCTTACGGCCGCTAAATCACCTCCTCTCCTATAGGTTATGTCATCTTATAAAGTCACCCATTATTTTCGTCCTAATTGAACCTTTGATTACATTTTTTTTCTAATCGGCTTGTATTTCTTTTTAATTTTAAGGTAAACCTTCGGCATTATTTGATGTGGCAAATGCTGACTGGGTGCCATGTCTCAACCTGGGTCGCTCATCACGGATTTCTACAAGAAGTTCTGTTGCCAAAAAGCGTCCCACGGTTCAAAAGAAATCAAAACGATGCGATGATAGCACACCACTCAGTCACAGAATAGTTGATGGCGACGAAAATGATGAAAAAATATGTCCTCCAACTGTTAGTCTTTCTGCAGAGGAGCATGAAAGAATAGCAAAAGCAGAAACTACCCCAGGAATTATCTGCCAAACAGAAATTACCTCAGAAGGCTTGTCGAGACTTGAGGATATGTACAAAAGTGTGCTAGAAGAGAACATTGCTTTGAGGAAGGAATTGATTACTCTGAAGTCTCTTGTAAACGGAATGTCCGATGCTGATGAAGGTCTAGGCAATAGTGATAATGAAGGTAAGTTTCTGTCCACACTCTGTGCGCATTTTGAAATGAATATGAAAGGAGTAAAGCTCTGATTCTTACAATAGGTTTGATGTAGTTGTGGATAAGGGGCCACTTTGTTTCATTTCAAGTTTGTATTCTTTGGCAGGTGCACCAGCTGGACTGGAAAGAGTTGAAGTAATTCTCAAAACTGAACTTGAGACAGAAATAGAGCCAGAAGCCTGCCTTGGGCAAGACCCGTTTGCAGAGAGGAACCAGCCGCCCTGTGGGCCAGATAGGCGACTGGAGAAGCAGAAGGCAGTGCAGGGCGGAGAGGGAACTCAAACGACACTCCGACTGCGTGATGTCCGGCGTCCTCGAGCCGTGCGCTCCCAGAAGAACCTGGAGGACCCTCTCCCGGATCCAGAACCTGAACCGGACTCTGGATCTGATCGTGGCCAGGCATGTGCTGATGATGAGGAAAATAATGGGCAAGGCTCCGAGTCTGATGAACCTGAACCTAAGCGTCGGAAAACGTATCAACAGAAGCGGGAGAAGAAGTTCCCATGTGCTGAGTGTGGTCAAAAATTCATCTCGAGGCAAGCACTGGAAATTCACTTCAGGATCCACACTGGGGAACGACCATTTGAGTGTGCAGTATGTCAGAGAGGCTTCAGTGTGGCCAGTACACTCAAGGCACATATGAGGACTCACACTGGGGAGAGACCATTTGCATGCAATATGTGTCCAAGAACCTTTTCAGAACATGGGACTTTAAAATGTCACATGAGAACTCACACAGGTGAGAAGCCATATGAGTGTGATGTATGCCACAAGAAGTTCTCGGAGAACAGTACACTCAGAAGACACCTGCTTACTCACACTGGAGAGCGGCCATTTGAATGCATGACCTGTCACAGTAAGTTCATTCAGAAGTACAACTTGAATAACCATATAAGACGGGTGCATACTGGAACAATTTTAGGCCTATAATTTTGAGTAGTGTCTATCTGTGTTTGGCTACTCAGATCTCATTTGAAGTGTACTAGTCATTTTAAAACTTTCCTAATTTTGCGTGTTTGTTGTTGTTTATTATTTATTATTATTATTATTAGTCTCATTGTCTAGTCAGTGCAGAACTGTCAATAAATTTGTAAGTTGTGATCTTTAGCTTTACCCCAAGAAAGTGAAAGTAAGAAGTTTAGTCTAATTAATAAATGTGCTGTCCATTAACAATGCGAAATCTTAAACCTCAAAATACAGTTTCTTTTTTTGTTAAATCAAACTTTATCTTGAGACAAATGGACAGAATATATATTAAGACTTGGGTCCTCTTTATGAACGCAGTAGTTAATATTGTACAAAAAAAGTCTAGTCCTACTCCATTTGGGTCTTTGTTTTAATTTGTTAGAACTTGTTTTCCTTTGTGTTCTTGAAAGACTTACTAATTGCTGTACATATCTACATTCCGAATAAAAACCCTTTTGGTAAAAAGATAAGAAAGAAAAGTTGGATTTTTGACTCAAATTTTATTGAAAAAGTAATGTGTGACAAGATATAGTAATGACAGTGGCAATATTTTCCACTCATTACCATCACATTTTAACTCCAAACACAATCAACCAATGAGCAGCCTGATTTCACATTTACAAATCAAGTGAAAATTTTCTTTGATCAGGTTACCTTATCACTCCTGAAAAAAAAAAAAAGCTGGCTGCCCGTATGTACATTAAACCTTAAATATTCAGTATTTGAGGGTTTCACCTCCCCAAGACCTACAACATGTTTTAATAAGTTAACAATCAATCTTCTGATTCTAATGATTGAGCCGACAAGATATTAACATGAAGATATAAACCAAGTAACTGTAATCACATAAAGTAGCAAGGGAGGCAAAGGCAAAGTGGAGTGAGGGAGGACTAATGATGGATCATTAGGCAAAGGCATAAATAGTCAATTTTTATTTAGTTATATGATCCTCCACTAGTCCTCACTCACATTAATCAACAAGGCAAAACTAATTGAAAACAAAATATCTCTGAACTTGGAGGATGTTTCTACTATCAAGCACCAGTGGTGCAACAAAACCAAATGCAGATGCCCTCAATTTTCTCACCTTTGCATTCCAACTTATGTTTGATTAAAACACAGTCAAATCTAAGTATAATATGAAACAAAATGTTGCTTCTTTTAATTCAGTTCAATATATTGCAGTAATGATATCAAGACCCAGCCTGATTCAATATGCACCTTTTGTTATGAGTAATCATCTTGGTCATTATCATTAGCTTGGCTCTTTGCAAGTTGTGCTGCAGCTGCTGCTTGGATTTGGGTCCATTGTTGTTGCTGTTGTTCTTCGGCCGCTTGTTCTGCACGAGCCTAAGATATTCAAAAATTAAATTTTCAGTTGAAAGGAAGGAAGAGAGGAAGAATAGAATGAGTTCTAAAAAGAATACATTAGAGTTAGTTACCTTAGCAAATAGTTCTTGTTGACGCCGGTACAATTCTTCTTCTGGTATTCCAAGATTTTCAAGGCGGTTGCTATGACGTCTGCGTTTGGCTGCAACTGCTTTGCAATCCCTTAAAACAGCTTCAGCATCATCCTTGTAATCGGCAAATCCAAGTCTTTCAAGGGCTAAAAAATATCAGAGAACACCATGAGAAAACAGGTCCTTAGATTTTGGGAAAATCGACATGTAAAATAAATAGCTCACCTTGCAAAACATGATCAGCATTAATGGTTTTCTTTTGTTGCTGATTACAAATATTATTGGCCTCTGATGCAATGTGATGAATAAATTCAGAGCAACAATTGACAATTAGGTCCCTACATTCATTGGCAACTCGTGTGTTACTTGGTAAAATTTCTTTAATGAGTCTGTAAATAGATGCACGAGGTATGGTATGCTCTTCCTCCTCAGCTGAAGAACCCCCTGGATTAGATGCCATCCTGCAGGAACATAAAAAAATAGAGTCAATAAACTTAAAAACTAGTCTGAACAGGATAGGAAGAAAACTCCACCAAGTTCTTAAGAGGAGCTTTGACAAGCATACTGCTTTGACACTAAGGACTTTGTTGACCTTCCAATTTAGGCCAATAAAGAAAAGAACTCGATGAAGAAGAATATTATCTAATTAAAAGACCGAAGAAATACGAAAAAATTGTCGAGAGAGAAAACAAATACAAGAAAAGGTTTACCTTTGTAGCAGAAGACTAGGTTATGACCTTAAATAAATATAGAATTCGCGTCAAAATAAAGAAGACAGTGGACGCCGACAACACATGCACCAACGACTGTGACAGACAAAGGGCTTACTTCGAAAAATTGCTGTCTTTGCCCAAACAAAATTAATTATTGTTGGTGCAAAACACACACAAGAGTTTGACGCTACTTTCTGAAGCGCTCCACCACAAACTCCAGCACCTCTTCCATCAACTATTTTAGGTGGTAGAGGGGATGCGCATAGTCCGTCTACCACAACGCTCATACTTTTGGCTCGGGAAAATATTGAGCGTTGACCTTAAGAAAAGATTTTGCGAAGGTAAATAAAAAATGATACTTGCGTTATTTTTGTTGTTGGTCATTCTTCATCCTTTGTTTGTTTCGGTGTTCTTTCGTTCTTCTGCTGCCCCCATGCATACTCACGGTGCCCCTTACGACGGACGCGCTATACCTATCCCCACCGCGCGACGGGAGGTGTTAAGTGACCTCACACACTAAAGACTCCGCTTTTATGAAAAATTTACTGATCTTTTGGACGTATTGGCAGCATTTCGCTGCGAATACACCTCGTGACAGCTAGTCTAGTAAATGGTGAAGGCGGAAACGCCATCAGATAAACGCAACCATATCCGATTAACATCAACATTTATTTTGGGTATAAACGGGTTCGCTTTTTATTTTCAACGATCATACGGAGGGTTGTTTCGAAATGGCATGTACAACATTGAAAGCCACTGTCAGGCGTGTGGCGTGATACGGATTCGCCTATCTCGGCGCCCTTGGGGCTCTTTGCGAGCAATGAGTTGGGGGCAGGTTTGGGCGCTGAGCAGGCAGGCATTCGTCGTGAGACCATCAGGACTGTTGCCCTTAGACATCGGTAGACATATTGCCAGACCTCCAGGACCTCAAGAAGCCACGCGGGGCCACAGTGGACTCGGGGCGAGCACGCCTTGGCTGGACCGTGCTCGACGCCTGCCTCGCTTGTCGACTCTGTCGGCCAGCCGGCCGGCCGAGTGCGAACGCGCACGAACTCGAGATGGCCTCGTAAGCACAAGTGGATCGCCTCGTGCTCGAAGAACAACATCCGCGCGCGCCAGACGAACCCCTCCAGCTGCAAAGATCAAGCCAAGTTCAGTAGAATGCACTGTGCTCCCAAGGAGGGCTTCTCAGGTCAGGTCTGTCGGGTCGACGCGGGGTCATCCATGAACCACGTGTCCTCCCTCTTTTTGGAGGGACTTCGTGACCCAAGTCGAGTTCCCGTCAATTTTGGGGTCAAAATAACGTAAAATCAACGCCGAACGGGGACGCGTAGTTCCAGAAAGCCCCTACCTGTTGGTCTTGGTCTCCTTGGAAGGAGAGAGTCCACCCCCGTCATGTCGATGGAAAAGTTGGAGCCTTGTAGTTGCCCTGCAACAACGGTGAGAGCCCAGAGAGACAACGCAGTTCCAGAAAACGCACTGCGGCCTACAGGAGTTGTTTGCACGGGATCACCCGAGGTGGCGGCAAGGTGGGGGCGCGGGGGCGCTGCAGGCAGGCATTCGTCGTGAGACCACTCAGGGCTGCTCCTGTTGCCCTTGAGACGTCCAGACTGGTCCAGACCTCCAGGACCTCAAGAAGCCACCGCGGGGGCCACAGTGGACTCGGGGCGAGCACGCCTTGGCTGGACCGTGCTCGACGCCTGCCCTCGCTTGTCGACTCTGTCGGCCAGCCGGCCGGCCGAGTTGCGAACGCGCACGAACTCGAAGATGGCCTCGAAGCACAAGTGGATCGCCTCGTGCTCGAAGAACAACATCCGCGCGCGCCAGACGAACCCCTCCAGCTGCAAAGATCAAGCCAAGTTCAGTAGAATGCACTGTGCTCCCAAGGAGGGCTTCTCAGGTCAGGTCTGTCGGGTCGACGCGGGGTCATCCATGAACCACGTGTCCTCCCTCTTTTTGGAGGGACTTCGTGACCCAACGTCGAGTTCCCGTCAATTTTGGGGTCAAAATAACGTAAAATCAACGCCGAACGGGGACGCGTAGTTCCAGAACAGCCCCTCACCTGTTGGGTCTTGGTCTCCTTGGACAGGAGAGAGTCCACCCCCGTCATGTCGATGGAAAAGTTGTGAGCCTTGTAGTTGCCCTGCAACAACGGTGAGAGCCCAGAGAGACAACGCAGTTCCAGAAAACGCACTGCGGCCCTACAGGAGTTGTTTGCACGGGTCGATGCGAACCTCGAGGATGGGGCAGCGCGGCGTCGGGTGGATCTTGTTGATGAGGTCGGTCCAGGGCATGAGGGGCGCGTGGATGGCCGCGCACACGCCCTCCCTCTGCACCACGGGGCTCGAGGGCGTGCAGGAGTTGTCCGACACCACGTCCTTGCACTTGGTCAGCTCGATCAGCATCTGGGGCCAGGGCATGTCATCATGTCAGTCGAGGAAAGCTGTGGACAAAGGCCATGCCAGGCTATGCCTCTGCAGTGCCGGGTCCACCTGCGTGTACTGCTTGACGGACTGGTTGACGGTGACGTCCACGTCCATGACCACCCTGGTGCGGCCCGACATCCTGTACGTGACCGCCGTCTTGACGAGGGCGTGCTGCAGGTGCTCGCACCGGCCCACGGCGATGGGCCTCAGCTCCAGGTGCGTGCCTTTGATCTGGGCCTGCAAGCAGACGCGCTTGTTCAGCGCCTCGACGGTCCGGAGCAAGCACTGCCGCCGCGGCCACCTCACCCCGATGATGGGGATGTCGGACAGGGAGACGGCGCCGCCGTGCTGCAGCGAAGTGAGCAGGGCGACGACGCGGAGGGCCTTGGTGGCCCTGGCCATGGTGGTGGCGCTGGCTGTTACTGGCCGGGCCTAGCCGGGCCCAGGGCCGCACCGGGCCTAGAGCAGCCTAGAGCACGTCCGCTCGCCTGCTCGCTGTCCGTGTTCCCGGCTAGCGTCTGTGTGTGTGAGTGATCGGAATGATTATCACCATTGTAGATGGCCGCGATTTTGGACACCGACATTGGCTCCACTGAGTGGCCCCCCTCCCCCCTCTCTCTCGCGTTGTAATGCGTGCGTCATGCATAGCCACACGGCCGGCTGGCACGAGGTGCACGAGGTTGTCGTGTCGCGGCGATTGTCCGCGACCGACCGTAACTGGTGATCACGGAACAGAGAAAGGGGCAGAGAAAAGAACGTACGCAATCTAATGACAAACGGGGCAGCCCACGAGCCACCCAGCGTGCTGCCTTTCCAGCAGACTTCCGATCGTGTGTGAGAAAAGAACACGAAATAGTCAAGACAGAAGAGTTCCTTGGACGCTGTTTATTAAAGCCTTCACTTTCTTCACGGTTCGAGGTACCGTAGGGCCCTAAGGCTGGTTGGCGGCTATCTTGTCCTGGATCCAGTCGATGTAGGCCGAGACCCTGGTGTACACGGAGGGCTTGCCCTTGGATCCGCAGGGCTGGAAGCCCCAGGACACCACGCCGATGACGGTCACCTCGTCGCCGTCCTTCTGGATCAGCGGGCCGCCGCTGTCGCCCTGCGAAACGGAGAGTTACAGGTTTGCCAACTGAACGGCGGAGGAAACTTGGAAGCCAATCCAGTGGCGGTGGCGGTGCTTACCGAGCAGGCCGCCGTGATGCCCTTGGGGCCGGCGCCAGTGCACAGGTTGGTGTCCTGGAGCGTGCTGGTCTGCCAGGAGGGCAGGGTAGCCTTGACGGTCTCGTTGCACGTCACCACGTCCACCAGCGGCACCGTCATCTTGTGCAGGTCCTTGGTGTCGGGGAACACGCCGTTGCTGATGTAGCCCCAGCCCGACAGCGTGGCCTCGTCTGCGCAGGGAGTGCGTGAGGGCGGTTACAGAGCTCCGCAAGGCAGGGCGCTCACCGCGCACCGCGGTGCCCCAGGTCCTTACCGTGCGGGATGTCGCCGCTGACCGGCAGGCTCGCCAGGGCGACGAGCTCCCCGAGGACGAAGGGCTGGGCGGTCCGGATGAGCGCGATGTCGAAGGGCTGCACCTCGCCGGCGTACTTCTCGTGCACCAGGAACAGGTCGGAGGCCACGGTCTGGCCGGCGGCCTTGTCCTTCTTCCGCAGGCTGTTGACGCCCGCCACGACCAGCACGGGGCGCGAGATGGCGCCCTGGTAGCAGTGCGCGGCCGTCAGCACCCAGCGGTCCGCGATGAGGGTGCCGCCGCAGAAGTGCTCGGCCCAGCTCCAGAACAGCAGCTGCTGCTGCCTGCGGGGCGGGGCGTCGTCTGTCAGAAACGGCCGTAGCGGGACGGTGCCCCCCGAAGGTGACCTTACCCCCAACCCCCGGACAGTAGTTACCTCTGCAGGCTGACTTGGTGCGGGAACTCGCCGGGCGCCGCCACCTCCCCGTTGACGATGGCGACATCGTTGATGTTGGCGCCTGGAACAGTGCCACGTCGAACACGGTGTTGATGGGGCGACGGCGGCGTCCTCTGCGGCACTCACCAAGGGCGGCGGTCGCCAGCAGCACCGCGGCGACGACCAGTGAGAGCGGGGCCATGGCGAGGACGTCTGCGTCGAGGACTCGGCCGCCGACTGCTGAATAACACCCTCGAGGCCGTCCAGCTGCCTGTGGCCTGCTGCACCGAGGGACCGAGGCGCTCAAGGGCCCCGGCGATAAGGCCGTCAAGGACTTCACTAATGAGTCTCGGCCAAACGGCGACGCGATTCGCAATCAATTTATCTGCGTTGCTTCGTACAGGTGCAAAGGAACGCAAATCATTGGACGCTCGAGTTCAAACGAAAAGTGATTTATTTCGCGGATAAATGAGACATTGTCGCCTAGGGCTGGTTGGCGGCCATCTTGTCCTGGATCCAGTCGATGTAGGCCGACACCCTCGTGTACACCGAGGGCTTGCCCTTGGAGCCGCAGGGCATGAAGGCCCAGGAAACCACGCCGACGACGGTCACCTCGTCGCCGTCCTTCTGGATCAGCGGGCCGCCGCTGTCGCCCTGGAAAGCAAGGTAGCTGAATCCGTGTCGGCACGGAGGAGGGCGCGATTCTGTAAGAGGACCGCCTCGCTCCGTGCAGCGAACGGCACACCTCGACGCCACTCACGTTGCAGACGGAGATGTCGTTGGTGGCGCCCGGGCCGGTGCACAGATTGGTGTCGGCGAGCGGGTTGTGCTCCCACGAGGCGAGCGAGGCCTGCACGGTCTCGTTGCACGCCGCGATGTCCAGCACCGGCACCGTCATCTTGTGCAGGTCCTTGGTGCCGGGGAACAGGCTGTTGCTGATGTAGCCCCAGCCCGACAGCGTCACGTCACCTGCAGAGCGGCAGGTTTGTTAGTTGGCGGCGAACATGCCGGCCAGCCTCTCTGGTTCAAACTGCACCCACCCTGCGGGAGCACGTCGGGCTGTGGAAGGGCGGCGAGGGCGACGCGCTCGCCCAGCACGATGGGCTCCGAGGTGCGCACGAGAGCGATGTCGAACGGGTTCACGCCGCCGGGGTAGTTCTCGTTGGTGATGAACAGGTCGGCGAGCACGGACTGGCCCTGGGCCTTGTCCTTCTTGCGCAGGCTGTTGATGCCCACCACGACGTACACCTTGGGGCCGACGCCGGGGTAGCAGTGTGCGGCCGTCAGCACCCAGCGCTCCGAGAGCAGCGTGCCGCCGCAGTAGTGCTCGTTCCAGCTCCAGAAGAAGAGGCTCTGGTGCCTGGAACGGAGTGGGCAGAGGGGTGTCCAATACTGGAGCCCGTGGCTCGCTGGCCGCAGAGCCGACCGCGCGCTCCGGGACTCGAGGAGTCGACAGACGTGGCTGACGCTGACCTACCTCTCCAGGCTGACCTGATGCGGGAACTCCCCGAGCTCCGCCACCTCGCCGTGGACGATCTGCAGGCCCTCGGCCCTGTCACCGTGGCCCACGGTCGCGCCTGGGCGCGTGGCGGGCAGAACATCAACATGAACACGGGCAGACTACTCATAACATCAGGAGACACGCTCCTCCTCTCGTTCCATTTGTTTTTGTTTAGTTTCTCATTCCGGGTCGCCAGCCGAGGCTTCTCGGTAATCCTCACCTAGGGCGGCCGGCGCGGCCAGGAGCACCGCGAGCACCGCAGCAATCGGAGACATGATAGCGACTAAATTAAAGAGTAACAATTCAAATCGAGGGCCGCCTTGGCCGTAGGGGACTCGAGACTCGGCATCGCCTGAGCCGGCCGACGCTACTGCACGTCGCTTTTCGAGTGCACGTCGAGACAAATATCTCGAGAGGCCGCGCGCTTCGATAAAGCGTCCGCCGTTTTTGTGAGGGCATGCCGCCGTGCCGTGGTGGACCGGGGAAGACAGGAACAGAACGCAGAGACAGCTGCGGGCAATCACTTTATTGTCAGGCGGGATCCGCGATCGCAGCGCCGGCTGCCGCGCCGGCGGGTGGTGGCGGGTGGCGGCACTAGCGGCCGATCAGGACGCGGGGCATCATCATCCTGGCCAGGCCCGCGGTGCCGAACCCTCTAACGCCCATGCCGGTCATGCCCGTCATGCCCATGCCGCGGAAGAGCAGGCTGCCGAGCGGCACCACGCCCACGCCCAGGCGGCCCGTGGCGACGGGGTTCACCACGGGGTTCACCACGGGGTTCACCACGGGGTTCACCACGGGGTTCACCACGGGGGCCGTGGTCACGGGGTTCACCACGGGGTTCACCACCACCTGTGAAGGGAAAAGGGAGAATGAGCGGAGCTAGCGAGCTGGGTGCTGGGCGCCGCGAGGACGTCCCCGCCGAACGGGCGGGCGGCGAGCGCCTGTGAAGTCCAGCGTAGGCCAGCCCGCCGCGCACGGGAGGCGGCCGGGCGGCCTACGTCTTTCGAGTCATTCGGGTCATTTGGTCACTCCACTCGCCTGGGGCTGCGACGCGGGGGACGCGGGCACCTGGATGACCTGCGGCGCGGGGATGTTGTTGTGGATCACGTTGCTGGTGTTGACGTTGATGGACGGCGTGGCTGGCGTGGGCTGGTTCACGACGATGGTGCCTGTGCCGTCCACCTCGAACACCTCGGCGTCAGGGGCGATGTCCTGGCCGTGCAGACGCTGGCCCTGCCAACAGGACGAACACTCTGTCACCCTGCTTGCCCTTGCTGCTCTGTCTCTAAGGAAACGCCCATGAGTACGACAGAGGCAGAATGACAAAACGACTTGCAGCAGCGACGCTGCTCGCCAGGACGACGCGGTGCCGAGCGGACTCACCCCGAGGAGGCCCACTAGGAGGAGGGCGCTGAGGACCTTCATGGTTGTCGATCTGGATGGAACTGCCGAAGTGGCCGTGGCCCCGCCGGGAACCGCGTCTTTGTCTTCATCGTCGCGGCGCAAAACAGCTGCGGCGTAGAGCAAACACCAGTACACCTGTGAGGCTCGGGGCAACGGCGTCAGGGGCTGCCTCCGAAAGTATATATTTTCTTTATGCCGGAGTCGCCCTTTCGGTTGCGAGACATAGTATGACGCTGGTCGGGTTGGACTGTGACCTCATTTTCGCCGAATCCGAAGCCCGCGAGCGTCATTAGCATCGCCCACAATTTTCAGATTGACAGCTGCAATCGATACTGTTTTGGCCGCGTGCGAATCGCGTGCCATCAGGCAAGGCAGCGAGGAGAGATAAGTACATCCGCCGATTTCGCCATTTTGGAGCGTTTTTGCTTTTGTTTTTTTGCCTCTAATTGGCGGCCGCCTTTGCATGCGCGCCTCGGCAGCCGGCACGCGACCGCCTAGCCTGCATCTGATGGCACTGGCCGAGGTGCACGACCGCTCTCTCCATCCTTGTCGCACTCGGGGCGCGCCGCCGACCCGAGGGCTGGAGGCTGGAGGCACTCGCATCTCCCCTCATTCCGTTCCATTCCCCGGGCGGCCCGGCCATGTCTGGCCATGCCATGCATGCGGACACACCAGCCCCTCTCGGCGTGCTGCTGCTGTGCCTCGGCTGTGCTGTCGGCCTCGGTGTCGGCCTCGGACACCGCGACCGCGAGGTCGGCGCCGTCAGCCTCCGCCAAGCTCCCGTTCCGACTCCGAACCGCCAAGCGCCCCCCATCGGCGATGTCCCCGACGTCCGGAAACGCGTAAGGAGAGATGTGGTTTTTCATCGTCACTCGTTCCTCACCGAGCTGAGCTGACCCATGTCTGGCCTGTGTGATTTCGGACATCCATCCAGCCAAGCCGGCCATCCTTTTTGTCCTCTCGCCTGGTGGCGGAGATCCCATTCTTGCGGGAGTGCCAGGACGTCCCCACCAACTCCATCAAGTACTTCAACATGACCACCAGGTTGGTGGGCAAGGCGGACTTCTTTCTTAACGGCGCGTATGAAATTTCCCGTCTGGCCAAGGATTTATCCGAGGTGGGGTGAAACTTTTATGCTGTTCACAGTAGTCCAAAATGGGAGATTTAAAAAACAATTGTTTCTTGTTCTGTGGTTTTTAGATTGTAATAATACTGACAAAGTGCAAGGAGATAGTCTCTGCCAACACCTGCGAGCACTTCCAAACTTGGCGCTTCAAGAAAAACATCTGTCAAAATATTTTCTTTGGAAACCAGATTTGGGCCAAGTTTAATGAAAATATCATTCCCACTCCGAAGTGCCCTGCAGCGCCAGTATGTTAATTTTGATGCGCTTAAGTTTGAATTAGATGTTATTTAAAATTTGTCTTCACACAACTGATCTTCCTACAGGGCACCTACCAAATAAGGAATGCAACAATTGACATAAATGTACTTCAGACACTTCCCATGCCGCTGGAAGGTCACGTGTACCGCGCGAGACACTTCATGATGGAACCTAATGGCGTACCGCATATTTGCTCTGAGGCCGAGATTCAATTCCATAGATCACGGAATTGACTGACTACTGTTAATGGAGATGATATGAAACACAAAACAGTAGCATAAGATCAATGTTTTAATAAATTACACATTGTTTACAAAGGTGAGTCATGTACTACATACATTGTATGTAATAAAACACACATACAGCAAAGCCTTTTCTGATACTTGTTTACGTAAACTACAGAAAGTTCAATACTATAAAAAAAGAAAAAAAGAATTCTGAACTTCGGTCTCTTTGTACTTTACATTATTTAACATAAAATATAAATTAACTGTACACTTTAAACAAAAGCAGAGATACAGTATTTACAGAGATATTAAAACCACATGTTCATGAATGGAAAAATAATTTACAATGTTCACAAGGTTTATTTTACGACTGCCTTTGAATATCTGAGACGAAATTAATTCAAAATACCACTAAGTGGTGTCACCCACTAGTTAATTACTCTTGGAACAACACAACTAGGTAAAGCTAAAGTACATAACAGTAAAAACAATCAACAATATTTTCCCATCCATGATCTACACTTTTAACAAAGCTTTAATTAAAAGTCATTTCAAAGGTAAAGTTTCTTTTTGTTCTTGATAACAAAAATTTAGAAATCTTACAGTAACATACTACAAAAGCAGTACAATAATCATAAATTAATAATCTTCCAAAAAATAACACAAAATAATAATACTATTTGATGACTAGTCAATACATGTTTACAAGTTACACTATGCATCAATGCACGAAGGCTGATGTGTATAGTGCATTGATCAACAATTTGGTAAAGATGAGGTCATTTAGACAAACATAAATGAACCTTGGCATAGGACTTCCCCACCCCAAGATGAGAATACCCCTAAATGCATAAATAAATATGAAGATTGCACCTGTGTCACCAGAGAGAGATGCTTTCCTCACTTAACAGATATGCCCTGATATTCTTGAAAGGCTAACAGCTTGCCCTAAAAAGTAGTACATCTATGACTTTGTACACATTTACCACCAGCCAATCCAAACCTTGAAATACACCATTCAGTCAACAAAAATACATGAAGCTAAAATTAAACAAAACAACTAAAGAGAGCACATACAATGATTGAAATAATAATGGATATTTACAAATGGACTAAGAAGCTTTGGTCAATATTTACATTTTAATGAACTTTAACTTTAATTTGTCTGTGTTGTTGTTATAAAAATACAAGAAGTCTATTGCAGTTAAACCTTTAAAAGGAAATCGCATACGTACTGCTTCCCTGGCTACATGGTACAGACACATAGCAGAAACACAGCAAATTTTAGAGCCTCTTTTTGGTAACTGGAATTTACGAGTAGACACAAACTTTCAGTCTTTGGCCAACGCTGACACAAGGAGCCTATCAACGTAATGTTTGCTGATATTATAAAAGATTTGGAAAGAGCTCCAGATCATTGTCTTCTTCATCTTCATCTTCGCTTGAAGGAGGAGTCACTAGCTGAGGCATACCCAAATTCAAATATTCCTCATTGGCTGTCACAGTTAAGATTCGATCCAGTTCCTCCACAAGTTCTTCAAAAGTTGGCCTTTCATTGGGTTGATAACTCCAACATTCTCTCATCAGCATATACCTAAAATAGGAAGATAAAAATCATGTTAGGAACAAATTTTAAAAAAGACCCATACATGTTACTGGAAGACATGGAAAGCGGAAACATACATTTCTAATGAGCACGCTGGAGGCTTTTCCATTCTGTGACCACTCCTTAAAAGCTGGAATAGGTTTTCAACACTGGGCATGGATGGATAAGGTGTTCCACCTAATGTCATTATTTCCCATAGAAGAATTCCGTACGACCAACTGAAAAAGTCATAAGAAATAACATTATGCAAAGAAATGGACGTAATTACACCTCTTTCCCCCCTCCCCCCCCCCAAAAAAAAAAAAAAAAAAAACAGGAATGTTGACTTACACATCAGATTGTGTTGTGTAAAGCCTGTGGAACAGTGCCTCGGGCGCCATCCACTTGACAGGAATGCGGCTGTTGGTCGTCTTTCTGTAGTAGTCATTACAGTGAATGTCTCGGGCCAGACCAAAGTCGGCAATCTTGATGACGTAGTCATCACTGACCAGCACATTACGCGCAGCCAAGTCTCTGTGGATACACTGCAACAAAATAAAGGCCACACAGGTGAGACGGGGCCAAAATGGACGGTGATGAAATGGTGGTAACGGCGACCGATCCTCACCCTTCTCGACGCCAGGTACTCCATGCCCCGCGCCACCTGGTACGCGAAGGACACCAGGTCCTTGTGCGTCAGGGTCCTGTTGACGCCGATGGCGCGCTCGTACCCGGAGGCCGACACGCCGCCCGTCGAGGCCCCGGACGCGGGCCGCTGCTGGCGCAGGAAGTCGCGCAGGTTGCCCAGCGGGGCGTACTCCACCACCACGTACAGGGGCCCGTCCTGGGTGCAGCAGCCCAGCAGGTTGATGATGTTGACGTGCCGCCCGATCATCTTCATCATCTCCATCTCCGACACCAGGTCCATCATCTCGGCGTCGGTGTGGCCCTCCTTGAGCATCTTGACGGCCACCGTGGTGGTGACGCCCTGCTTGAGGATGCCGTGCGCCTCGGCGCGCACCACCTTGCCGAACGCGCCCTCGCCCAGACTCTTGCCCAGCGTCATGCTGTCGCGGGGGAACTCCCAGTCCGGGTCCACGGGCAGCTCGTACTCCGAGATGGTCAGGCAGTCGATGGGCGCGGACGACTTCTGCTTCTGGATCTTCACCATGGGCATCAGCAGCGGCTCCTGCGACTGCGGCAAAAGAAGGGCAATGTTAGGAAAAGACTCGAAGTGAGGAAGCCTCAAGACCCTGACGCAGTCCCTCCCCCTCGGCGCGTACCTGCGAGTCCCCGACGCTCACGGTGCTGGCGGCCCCGGAGTTGGGCCTGTTGGCGGGCTCCACGATCACCTTCTTGGTCCAGTGCGTCACGGCGGCGGCCGTCTCCAGCGCCTTGAGCTTCTTGAGCTTCTCGCGCTTGAGGCGGTGGAAGATGCTGATGACCACGGCCACGGCGATGAGGAACAGCAGGCACAGCCCCGCCACCAGCACGTTCATGACGAAGGCCGTCGGCCCCGCCACCTGGATGTGGAGCTGCGAGGGCTCCGTCTCCTCGGCTGCGGGAACGAGGACAGGGGACACAGTTAGGCCTCCGCGTTCGCACCCTGCCGGGTCGAGTCGAAAACGACTGGATACTCACTGTCCACGACGCGCAGGTACGCCATGGCGTACGTGATGCCCAGGCTGTTGCCCGCCACGCACGCGTAGAAGCCCTCGTCCTCGTGGGTCACGTTCGTCAGCCGCAGCACCTCCGGGTCGTCGGCGCCATCGTCACCAGACTGTGGGGCGAAAGGGGGCAGGTTAGCGCGACCACTGCAAGAGGGACACTTGGGGGAGGGTGGGGAGCATGCTATTTCGCGCTCGTCAAATATTTAAAAATAATTATTTATACACAATGAGCGCCGAGGCTTCGGCAATGATTATTCGGCTAGTCGATTCCGAGAGAATCTAAACTTTACTCACTCCATGCACTTACATGCACTCTTCACTGCAAAATATTACGCAGCGTGAAAAACAAAAGAACACTTTTACCATAGCACAATGTTCTCAATATTTTAAAAATCAGATTGTTCAATAGATTTCATGCAACTGATTAGGAATAATTTTAAAGATTGCAAAGAAGAAAGTGGTATATACACTCACACACACTCAGAAACAGTTCAGAGAATGCAACAGAAGATTAACAGTCAGGATAGAGAGAGAGAAGGCGATCATCCTGCCTGGGTTGTTCATGGTTAGTGGGGCTGAAATCTTTTGATTGCATTTGGCATTTGTTAATTGGGTTGGTACGTGCACGTTGTTGAATGCATACACCACTGCAGGTTCACTGCAATGAAATAGCTTACTGTACCTGAACCAGTTTGTAGGTATTTTGATCCTGCGAGTAATTCCCCTTCACCCAAAACAAGTTTGGGTGCAAGTCGGACAGGATCTTACAGCTGAAGAGAGCCGCTCCACCCACCACAACCGTAGTGTTGACAGGAGATTCCGTAATGATTGGCTTGTGGTTCAGGCGCTCTGTGAAAACCAAAAGCAGCACCGCCACCAAGAGTCAAAGCGTTGTCAGGAATAATATATAACACTGAGAAAGCTTTTAAAAAAGCAACATATAAATTGCATAGTTTTAAGGTCACAAGTCGGTCACATCAAGCATAGATTGGAGTTTGCTCAGTAAATAATTAAATATATCACATTTAAAGATGATAAAACTCGAGTTAAGAAGCTTGAGTAAGCACATTTTTCTGTTCACATTAGCACAGAAGATAAATACAGGTGACACTCTTCACAATTGAAAACAGACGATACATTCAGGGTATTTAACAAGGGCAGATCAAAACTAGAGCACAACATGCAAGCACACCATGCAGCAACAACCGTGCATGTCTCCGAGCGAACGACATTTGCACAGAGGGAAGCCCCAACTCGGAGCGGAAACGAAATACGACGACCACCACCACTACAACCAACACCACCACCACCAGTAACAGCAACAGTCGAGCAGCAGCCCTGCCACCAGCTCCTCCACGCCGTCCGCGTCTCTCGCACGCCACCAAAGCTCGCCGACGTCACCACCACACGCGCGGCTTCGCGGCGCGGACTGAGTCGCCACGCCACGCCACGCCGGCCTCCTCGACGTCGACGGCGTGCTTTACCTGGATGAGGGTGCCGTTGGGCGGCTCGTCGCCCCTGCCGCCAGCGCTGGCGGCGCCGTCCTCCGGCGACAGGCGGAACCACTGGTAAAACGCCGACAGGTCCGCGTACAGCGGGCACTCGAACGAGGCGCTGGCGCCCACGAGCGCCGTGGCGTTCCGGGGAAAGCCCTCCTTGACGTAGGGCTTGTGGCGGAAGCGCTCTGTTCCAAAGGGAAGAAAAGGGGGCCATCATGCTCACATGCACAGTCTCACATTCGGGGTCACCCACCAGGGGGACTAAACTACAGTCGCAGTGCAGCCACGGTGCAGCCCAGGGACTTCCCCTCGAGTCGAACATGCACAGCCGAGACGGAGGGCTCGTCAGCAGACAGCGCTCGTCTCTCGTCCCGGCAAACGGGCACAAGGACATTCGGAACCCAGGTGTTAGCGTCTAGGACTAGGCGGGTGTTAGGCAAAGGCATCCAATGGGAAAACTCAAAAGGGAAACACGAACATCACGCGCGACATGCCGTGCCATGCGATTGACGTATTGGCACGCGAAGCCTGCAAGGAAAACCACATTAGCGCGAGACAAGGATGGGATGGGGCAACTCACCGATCACGTCCAGCTTGGTGGAGTGCTCGACGCAGCCCAGGGCGTTGCACACGGTGCACGTGTAGTTGCCGGAGTCCTCCGTGACCAGCTCCTCGAGCACGATGGACCAGTTGCCGACGCGCACGGCGCCCCACTGCCGCTGGATGGGCGCGCCGTCCTTGGTCCACGTCACGTTGGGGCAGGGGTTGCCTGCGGGCAAGGCGGCCAAGGCGTTAGCGCGGGGTCAAACGTAAAGCCAGAGTTGCGGGCTCGACGGCAGCCTGCCTTCACGGAGACGCACTAGCTCCGGGGGCTCCAGAGTCCACACTCACCGAAAGCGGGGCACTTGAGTCGCCACATGTTGCCGGCCGGCTTGGCGTCGTACGGCGCCATGGCGTCGGCCTTGGTGAACTGGGGCGGGCTGGCGGGGTGCTTGTCCGAGCTCACGCCCTGCATCACGTTGCCGCGGCAGTGCAGCGCGTCCTCCTCGCTGGGCGGCATCACGTGCAGCCAGGCGCTGGCCGAGGCGCGGCCCTTGCCCACGCCGTTGTGCACCACGCACACGTACCAGCCCTCGTCGTCCAGCGTCAGGTTGTCCAGCACCAGCAGCCGAGGGAACACGTTCGGGGGGCCGCCTCGCGACTGCAACACGCCAGTCACCACCACGTTACGGTACACCGCACCCTATGCTTCGCTTCACCATCTCCGCGTTGCCGGCGCCGGACCTACCTGCACTTCGTGGGTCCTCATGACGTCGTCGTCCAGGGCGGCGCCGACGTCCTCGCCGGGCGGCAGGTGCACCCAGCGCACGCGCGACGACTCCGGGGCGTCGGGGGACGGCTCGCACGCGAAGGAGGCCGTGCCGCCGAGGGTCTCCGACGCGTTGCGCGGCGCCTGCAGCACCAGCGGGATGTCCTCGGCTCGGCCTGCAACACCACGAGGCTGTCAAGCAGGGGTCCTCGCGGCCTGGACGGGGCAGGGCGTGGCGGGCGGGAGCGGCACTCACTGAAGACGCGCAGCAGCACGGTGGACGCGTCCGACCCCCTGCCGTTGGCCACGGTGCACGTGTAGTTGCCCGAGTCGGCCACGCGCAGGGCGCGCACCTCGATGGACGTGCCCTGCACCAGCGCGCGGCTCATGGGGAAGGGCTCGCCGTCCTTGATCCAGAAGGGCGGCGACGTGGACGGCCCCGCCACGGGGCAGGCCAGCACCACGGAGTCGCCCTCGCGCCGCGCCTCGGTGCGGGGGGTCTTGGCCTTGGGCGCCGTCAGGTCCTCGTCGGCGCTCGAGTCCAGCGAGTCCTGCAGCGAGGGGTCGCGCGCGTCCGCCTGCATGTCCTGCAGGAAGTCCTCGCGCTGCGCCGACAGGGCCGAGGGCGGCGCCAGCCTGGAGGCGGCCTTCGAGGCCCCCAGCACGATGAGCGTCGCGTTGGCCCAGGCCCACGAGTCCGCGGCGCCCCGCGGCCGGCAGCCGTAGTCGCCGGCGTCCTTGCGCTTGACGGCGCGCCACTTGACGGACTGCTTGGCCACGCGCACCCGCGTCGAGTTGCCCAGCACCGCGCCGTTCTTCCACCACGTCACGTCCTGCACGTCCTGGGGGCACCGCAGCCTCAGCTTCTCGCCCGCGTCCACCTCCACCTCGAGGTGCTCCCCGGGCACTGCAACAAAAGAACCGCCAAATGAGCCACACTTCCGAAAAGTTCATAGGAATTTAGTAGACTGGGGGCCGTTTACAGAACGCTGCCCGCGTGAACCGCAAGGGGGGCGCACAGCACAGGCCCCAGGTTTGTTTACGGCGTCCGCAGGGCTCCGCAGGGCACTGCAGGGGGCGGCGCGCGTGCTATAAGCAGCACGCGGTCAGTTGACGTCCCGTCCGCCGCGCCGCAGCCGCACCAGAGCCCCCGGCGTCCGCCGCACAGATTCATCAACAATTTTCAGCAACCGTTTCCCCGCCAGCCTCAAGGTGGCCGTCGTCCTGGCCCTCGCCGCGGCCACCGGAAGCGCGACCTGCGCGAGGCGGCGCGGGAAACGGGGCGTCGTTCAAACGGGCAAGACGGCGGCGCGCGACGAGAATAGTCGAAGCAATACACCTACAGCGTGTTAGCCTACACCAGGGAGACGGCCAATGAGTAATGTAGTCGGTGACAGACTCGGCGGCGCGGCGCGGGGCGGAGTGCCGTGCAGAGGAAGTCATCATATCGGAAACACTTTCCCCGGGTCGCGGCGCGTTTACGGCGACAAGCAACGCACTTGCCGCGACCCGGTGGGGCCTTCCCCGCGACCCGCGGGCCAACTTCCGGCACGCCCGCGCCGCGCGCCGCTCCGGGGCTCCTCCAAGACCCTCCCCGCCACGTTCCAACGCACGGTTTGCAGCACCGCCGCGGACGGCCGCTGGCCGAGTCGGAAAACAAACAGGGCTGCCGAAACGCGGTTCGACTCCGCACCTGCCCCCCCCCCTCCCCCCCACCCTCCAACCCAGAGCGCTTTTCAACGCCCACGCCCCCGCATGCATATGGACTCAAGGCCCAGTAAACAGGCATTTATTACGCCGGTTTTACGCCCTTCGTCGCCCGGCCGCTCGCCGAGCCCGCCGTCCTGCTGCACGTGTCCGTCGACAAAACCGTCCGGCGAGCGGCCGCCGTCGCCGCCCGCTCCAGTTGTCCGTCCAGCTGTCCGTGCCGCGGCACGGCACTGCGCACGCACGCACGGCCCAATGACAGCTGTCCCCCGACCGACGCGACACGCGTGACGCAAGTCGGGAACACAATCATAATCGAGCCGGGCCACGATTCCCGCCGTGATCGGCCACGCAAAAGCAGCACGCACGCAAGCGCCCTGCACGCGCACGCGCAGCGCACGCGCCGGCCGCGCCATCTGTCCAAGTCCCCGGCGGCCTGCAGGCGGCGCGGAACGCGGGGCCGCGCAGGCTGCGCAGGCTGCGCTCGGCGACTGCGCCCGGCGACGCGAGGCTAGGCAGCCCGCCGTGCCGCGCCGCAGCGCACCGTGCCCGCCTGCCAGGCCGAGGCCGGCGAGTCGGGCTGGCAGCCACGCGGGGCTGAGCGTGCCAACGTACTACACGGCGACGGAGGGGCCAGACGGACGGACTCGTCAGGACGTCCGAGGGGACCGACGTGGCCGTCGTGACGACACCGGGCCGCCGCGACGCGTCGCGACGCCAACCAACGAGCGTCACGACGCCAGCCAACGACAGCGCGGCAGCGGAGGAAGAAATAACCGAGTGAAAACAAAACGGCGCGGCCGGCAGCGAGCAGCGCGTCAGAGCAGAGCGGTTCGAACGAGCGGACATAACGCACGGCCGCCGGCTGCACTGCAGGCCGGTTCCGAACGGTCGTCTCGTCTCTGTCGCACTCGTGGGCCGCCCCGCAGCGGTGCGAGAGAGACAGACGGCGCCGTTCGGAGTGGGCCCGCGGACGGGCCGTAATCTCAGCCCCGCGAGCCACATTGTAGTGCGAGCGCGGACCGGCGCGGCGCGGCCCAGACGAGCGCCGTCCTCTCAAGACGTCTCGCTGGCGGTGCTGCTGGCCAGGCCGTCGTCGGCGTGGCCAAGTACTCGCGGCCAGATGGGGAGGGCGATTGCCTCGCCGCGGTGCGCTGCTACTCACGGCGCCAACGGGCCGTCAGACAGCGTCGCGTACAGTACACACACAACACACACACGCACGCACACAGACGCGACAAAGGTGGAAATTAGTCTCCGACTTTTACCCCCCGACTCTGGCAATAAAAGTCAAATCCAAGTTTTTTCCTCCTGGTCGTGAAGCGCGGGGAGCGCGGCCACCCCGTCCGACGACGCCGATCGTCCGGCCGCCGGCCAAGGACCAAGGGCTCCACCGCCACTTGCCACTAAACGGGCCGGCCGTAAAAAAAATAAGTAAAATCAAACTCAAATAATTAGAGAAGCGCGCAATAAAGTCGCGACGACGGCCTTTATCCCCGCCTCCGTTTATGAAGACATGAAAATGGTGTGCGAGCGCGCACCAACACACTGCCAGCCTGCGTGTGTGTGTGTGTGTGTGTGTGGTGTGTGTGTGTGTGTCTGTGTCTGTGAGTCTGTGCGCGCTCGCTGACGCGCCAAACGGAAGCCAGTGCGGTCGGTCTGCACATGCCGACTGGCTGGCTGGCTGGCTGGCTGGACTGCTGGTCCAAAAACTGTGAAAAAGCGGCCACGCCGCGGGCCGCGTCTCTACTACGTCTCTGGTGCCGCCGCGCCGAGGCTGGCCGAGGCTAGCCGTCCGGCGGAAGCTGAGGCGATGCAGATCTGCCAACTTGAGCCAAACACTCGCTCGCGGATGTTCTTCGGTCAGCGCGGCAAAGCGCGCCAGCGCGGCCAACGGAAAACAAGAAACAACACACCCCGGCCGTCCGACGAACCGCCCCCGCTCCGTCGTTTCTGCAAACGGCCGCTGGCTCACACTTCAGCCTTCAGCGCGCAGTGGGCAGGATGTTGCAGTGTGGTGGCACCCCCGCGGGCCAAATCCAAAACGCACCGCCGAGACAAAAGAGAGGGAACCCGAAAATGAAAAAGGGGCCAAAACGACAGCGTCGCCAGTCTACATGATTAGCACGGCGGGGCGTAAAAGGTCCGGCCGCCGCTAAAAGTGTCAGCAGTGGGGCTGCTTATGGGCTGACTGCCTGACTCCGGCCTTGCACCACGCCCCGCCGAGCCACGCCGAGCCACGCCGCGAGGACCCCCGCCCCCTCCCCCTCCCCCAGGCGTCCCTGGCAGGCCGAGCGAGCGCCGGGGACGCACACATAGGGATGTAAGAGCAAGTAATATTACCGGTAAAGAATGGTAAATTACGGTAAAATACGGTATTTTACGCAGTCGCCGGTAAAATTAGTATTTTTTGGTAATTTTGAAACTATTGTTAATTTTGAAATAAGCAGTCCGCAAAGTTTGTCAAAACAGCGTCAAATGTGTAGAAATCGTGGTTTGAGCTGACTTTGGACAGCCACTGCGTCTGATCTATGGTGCCTAATCGTTCTCCCCCAACGGGTAGCTGATCTTTGGGCCTTCCTTTAGAACACCTTTGTTACGGAGTGCGATTGGCCGCCTTAGTTTGGGAGCGGTATTGCAGCAAAGTTTGTGGAAACGGTATCAAATGTGTAGAAATCGTCGTTTGGGCTGACTTTGGGCAGCCACTGCGTCTGATCTAAGGTGGCCACGCGTTCTCCCCCAACGGGTAGCTGGTCTTTGGGCCTTCCTTTAGAACACCTTTGTTACGGAGTGCGATTGGCCGCCTTAGTTTGGGAGCGGTATTGCAGCAAAGTTTGTGGAAACGGTATCAAATGTGTAGAAATCGTCGTTTGGGCTGACTTTGGGCAGCCACTGCGTCTGATCTAAGGTGGCCACACGTTCTCCCCCAACGGGTAGCTGGTCTTTGGGCCTTCCTTTAGAACACCTTTGTTACGGAGTGCGATTGGCCGCCTTAGTTTGGGAGCGGTATTGCAGCAAAGTTTGTGGAAACGGTATCAAATGTGTAGAAATCGTCGTTTGGGCTGACTTTGGGCAGCCACTGCGTCTGATCTAAGGTGGCCACGCGTTCTCCCCCAACGGGTAGCTGGTCTTTGGGCCTTCCTTTAGAACACCTTTGTTACGGAGTGCGATTGGCCGCCTTAGTTTGGGAGCGGTATTGCAGCAAAGTTTGTGGAAACGGTATCAAATGTGTAGAAATCGTCGTTTGGGCTGACTTTGGGCAGCCACTGCGTCTGATCTAAGGTGGCCACGCGTTCTCCCCTAACGGGTAGCTGGTCTTTGGGCCTTCCTTTAGAACACCTTTGTTACGGAGTGCGATTGGCCGCCTTAGTTTGGGAGCGGTATTGCAGCAAAGTTTGTGGAAACGGTATCAAATGTGTAGAAATCGTCGTTTGGGCTGACTTTGGGCAGCCACTGCGTCTGATCTAAGGTGGCCACACGTTCTCCCCCAACGGGTAGCTGGTCTTTGGGCCTTCCTTTAGAACACCTTTGTTACGGAGTGCGATTGGCCGCCTTAGTTTGGGAGCGGTATTGCAGCAAAGTTTGTGGAAACGGTATCAAATGTGTAGAAATCGTCGTTTGGGCTGACTTTGGGCAGCCACTGCGTCTGATCTAAGGTGGCCACGCGTTCTCCCCCAACGGGTAGATGGTCTTTGGGCCTTCCTTTAGAACACCTTTGTTACGGAGTGCGATTGGCCGCCTTAGTTTGGGAGCTGTATCGCAGCAAAGTGGATCAAAACGATAAAATTTTACTTTACCCAAATATACCGTATAATACAGTAAAATACCGTATTTTACCCTTATTTACGTAACTTTGAATCTTACCGGTATTTTTACATCCCTACGCACACACATGGTTCGGGTTTTGGGTTGCGGTTCGAACGTCGTCCCGTCGTCGGTTTGGCGCAAGTTTTTCGCCTCGCCGTTCCGAGAAGACGGTCTCGGTCTGCATGGCCTGCGCAGCAATTAGTCGGCGGAGCGGTGCACTTGTGCCCCTGCAGCAGCGAGCCTGCCCGCCTGGCCCCCCAATGACCGCCCCGCCGCGGCTAGAGTCGCCCCCCAGGTGGACCGCGTCGCGCTGTGGCCGGCCGGGCGTGCCAGTTGGAAGCAGACGAAAAGAAAAAACAGTCATTCATAGAGGCCCGAAAAAAAGAGAGAGAC